TCTATATATCACTGTGTCTTAACTACCCCGGCAAACAAAGTTTGGACTCAATAGTATCTAATATCGGGTACGATGACGGACCATCAACAGACAGAGAAAAGGTAGGATTTCTCATTATTTATCTGTTATTTTTTATATTAAATAATATAAATACACATATAGAAAATGAAAGGATATGGAGTAAATGTACATGGGACAAAATCGCACCCAATACATAGAAAACATAGAAAATTATCAATGAACAGGGCTTTTATTCCTGTTCTTCATCTTGACAGTTGGTGTAGGGTCTTCAACAATGAACGAATCATTCATACCCTACAACAAGGCCAAGACGACCCCTAGCGTCGATTTAAGCGGTACTATTGATAAAAATTCACCTTCTTGCTCCCCATATAACTATTTTCGATTGTGAGATGTAATATTTTCCACAACCGTTCTACATCAACGGAGAAATAAGTAAAAAGGCACGTCAAAATGATAAAATGTGTGAACCTTGCCTCAAATTTGTTTAATTTCTCCTTTAATTGTGCTCATTGTACGGAAAGAAAGATATTAACATGGAGATTGCAAGACTAGTCACTTTTAGAACCTCAATATTTGTATTAATGTGCATGGAACGAAAGAAATGGGTCATGTCAAAATGGGAGGACCCGGTTTTTTTCCAATATTGTCTACTAAATAAGGAACCGGATTTGTCTTTGTATAGGACCCGGTTTTGTTTCGTTTTGAAACTACAAATTTATGAATGCAACGTTAACACGGAACTGAACATTGTCCGTTGAAAGAAATTCAATATATATGAGCTTCTTCATGAAAACTCATCTGTTGTTACAGCTGCTTTAAACAACACCAATGATTAGTCTGGATTTATTTGCTGTTTTATACAAATAGTTCAAGCTTCCATGAATGTTCATCCCTTGGTCTCGCAGTCCGACGAAACCGAAATACCAATGTGAATTTTGAAAATAAACACGATAATCCAATTCACATACATCCAATTTGTCGGATGTCTTTGTTTTCTCGTTTCTTATAGAATTTTAAGATGGTATACGATATAGTTATAATATATCAGTGGCGGATCCAGGGGGCGTAGAGGGCGTACGCCCCCTTTATTGGCCAAAACAGATTATTATATCATGATTTTTCACGATTTATAAATGATTTTTTTTACCATGAAATCGTAAAAATAAATCCCCTAGCTACGCTCGGCTCCTGGATGTGCCCTTGTATATTGACAATTATTAACTTGACCAACGTCACTAAAATGTAAAACATTTGTCAATGTACGATACTCATTACACAATGGAGCGATAAAAGAACCGTTTATTTATAGAATTATTAATGAAATAATCATAATTGCATTTTCTGGATGGCCTGAGACTATTTTACTAATTTATACTTAGTATAATAGTTAAAAAGAAGGGTAAACAGATTTTTAACATTTGATTATAGTGGTCCTTTGCGCCGCTTGAAAATTCATGCATACACATTTGTCTTATTCTCTTACTTTATAATGAACATTTAGTGTTCAGAATATATTTTTTTTCAGACGATCATAGGAAAGATTACACCCCTAGGTAGAGTGGAATATTTATTAAAATAACCATCCTATTGTCCAAGAAAATCACATATCAAATGTGCGTCCTTCAATTTTCAAGGCCGTACATATACACTATATCGAAGTTTGAACACTTAAATTTACGTAATCCATATAAAAACGCACAGAGAGCTGAAACCTCAAATTGCGTTACAACCTTCATTTCTTTGTATTTCGCCGTAAAAGTATTCGTTTTTACACAAAGCAAAATTAAAATTATTTTTTTCTCCAATTAACCAGGAATTAAAAAAAACGTTTACGGATTCAAATCAATGGTAAGTTGTCCTCTGAAAGAAACTGTTCTCAAACGGGCCATCAAACTCCTGTTGAACGACGGATTTTAAGTTTACGTTATACGATTATGCATTATTTTCTTTGGGTCCTGCTTTGTGAATTTTAGGACGAAACCGGGTCGTACATATTGACAAAACCGTGTCCTTCAATTTTGACATGACCCATTTCTTTCGTTCCATGCACATACATACAAATATTGAGGTGCTCAAAGTGACTAGTCTTGCAATCTTCATGTTAATACCTCTCTTTCCGTATAATGAGCACAATATAACGAGAAATTAAACAAATTCGAGGCAAGGTTTACTCAATCCATTATTTTGACGTGCCTTTTTACTTATTTCTCCGTTGATCTAGAACGGTTGTGGAAAATATTACATCTCACAATCGAAAATAGTTATATGTGCATTTATATTCTTCAATATCATAAAAATAATAAATAAATAAACAGAGATCCTACCTTTTCTCTGTCTGTTGATGGTCCGTCACCGTACCAGATATTATATATTATTGAGTCCAAACATTGTTTGCCGGGGTAGTTTATTTACAGTGTATATGTACCATTATATAACGTATACAATGTTGAAATCGAACTTAAAATGATTTATAGTACTATAATAGTGTTCTCCTATTTTCATTTATAACAATTAGACAAACAACAGTACTCATGTTTTTTCTTTCTTTTGCTCTTTTTCTATGGAAATTGCATTGGGGGATTGTACACTTCGTTAGTGCAGTTGTAAAGCGTTCAACTTCATAATTAATCTAAAATGAAAATTCATTCATGTATAGCATTTTATAGTCCATGGAAAGCAATGTACTATGATAAATAGAAGGAAAATACTGATTTACCATTGGACGAGAATGGGTGAGTATGTTCTAAATAAACATATTATAATTTAATATATATATATATCTGCCCAAAACTGTTCTACAGATAAAACGGTCAGTATCTGTTCTAGGATAGAACTGTATGAATGTTTAATTAGTATATTTGGTTATTTTTATTACTATAAATACCATTGACTGCAACAGGTATAGTAACACCCACATTTAAATTTTTGTTGTTGGTATAATTATGTGGTAGTGTAGTATACAGAGAAGAGAAATTATAGCTTTCAATGTATACAAATCAACCCTCTTAAAAAATAGCTTGTATATGATAGTGTAGTATCTTAAGTAGAGAAATCAAAACTACCAACGAAGATAAACTGAAACCCGAAGGAACATAGCTTATCTATGACTTCAAACGATTTTTTACTTCTAAGAAATAGTTAGTACCACTTTTTTTATAAACTATGTCCCAATATTTGATAATAAGTTTATGTATGTGAGGTTTTTTAACATGTTGAAGGCCTAACAGTGAACGTGCTGACAGGTGTGAGCTTTTGTATCATGTTGAAGGCATCACAGTGGACTTGCTGAAATGTGTGAGGTTTTTTATCATGTTGAAGGCATCACAGTGGACTTGCTGAAAGGTGTGAGGTTTTTGATCATGTTGAAGGCCTCACAGTGGATTTGCTGAAAGGTGCGAGGTTTTTTTTATCATGTTGAAGGCATCAACGTGAACTTGCTGAAAGGTGTGAGGTTTTGTATCATGTTGAAGGCATCACAGTGGACTTGCTGAAAGGTGCGAGGTTTTTTGATCATGTTGAAGGCATCACAGTTACATGTAGCATGCTGAAAGGTATTAGATTTTGTATCATGATGAAGGCCTCACAGTAAAGTTGCTGAAAGGTGTGAGGTTTTGTATCATGTTGAAGGTCCAATGGTCCAATAATGAATTCGAGTTGAAGAACGGTTATAACTTCTCTTGTTTTTGGTTTTGTCAAGTGTGTGTATTAAAAAATAAAATAACCAAAAAAAAACTCCAAGGAAAATTCAAAACGGAAATTCCTTTATCAAATGGCAAAATCAAAAGCTCAAACACTTCAAACGAATGGGAAACAACTGTCATATTCCTGACTTGGTACTGGCATTTCCTTGTGTATAAAGTGGTGGCTTAAATCTTGTTTTATAGCTAGCCAAACCTCTCACTTGTATAACAGTCGCATATAATTCCATTATATTGACAACAATGTGTGAGCAAAACAAACAGACATAATAGGTAAAAATGTCAAAAATTGGGTACAGCAGTCAACATTGTGTTATAATTTTAATCACTATAAAACAAATAATTATTTCAACAACAAAAAAAATGACATATAGACACTCTATAGACAAAGTAAATGAGCAAAAATGAAAGACAAAAATGACTATAGAACAATAACACAATGGCGGGATGTATAAATACCGAGCCACGCCAACAGTATATTACCAATAAATGGACTAAACAGCAAAGGTTAAAAATATACAAAGATAAATAAAAAGAAAACCATAACACGTAATTAAGATGACAAACAACGCCAGTACCTAGAATCTATACTTCAAGACCATCATGTATTATTTGTGAAGTTGATACGGAATATTTATCAGCAAGGTCTTGGTATCTTCCGATGAACTTTTTTAGAAAAATTAATTGGGAGTCACGAATAGATACATCATACCCGATCCCTTAATTCTTTTTCTTTTTATTTTAAGTAAAGTTGAGGTTTAAAAGTATAACCCTAACCCAAATATCCTTACTCCCGCGTGTTTATCCTTAGAAATTTTGTCTTATGTACTTCCATCAAAAATCCTTACTCCCGCTTGTGTATCCTTGGAAATTTTGTCTTATGTAGTTCCATCAAAAATCCTTACCCCCGCTTGTATATCCTTAGAAATTTTGTCTTATGTACTTCCATCAAATATCCTTACTCCCGCGTGTGTATCCTTAGAAATTTTGTCTTATGAACTTCCATCAAATATCCTTACTCCCGCTTGTGTATCCTTAGAAATTTTTTCTTATGTACTTCCATTTAATATCATATTTTTATATGTCCTATATATGAGAAGAAGGTCTGAAATATTGAGGTAAAGTTATAGTGTGTGTGTTGTGTGAAGTTTGCTGATCGGAGAAGTTAATGCTGGTTAGTTTTGTTTGAAATCCGATTTTTCCTTAGACATTCGTATTTTCTTACTGTTCTTTCAAGCTTATATTTATGTTCTATATATATTTAAATCAGATGGCAAAACTATTTTAGTATTTATTCAAATGTTTGTGCAAAAGCAATACTGACGTAAATGTGGTGCTATGTTTTCTATGCAATCTGCAGATGTCCCATAGGAATTTGTTCTGCTGATTTCACGATTGTCAACAAAAAACCTGCCAGAGGTTTTATCATGTACGACAGTGGCTTCGTATACGGCATCACCAGGTGATGTTTGGAATGTAACTTGTAATATATTATTTGGAATGTTCAGCGAATTGTTAAATTTAGCATGTCGACCATCTTTATCAGAACTGCCGACAAACTTTACCACATCTCTGCTCGGAGTAAACGTCATAGCCCGTATTATTCTGATTAAGGACAGAATTCTACACTGATATCTGAACGCATTCGTCATTGAATTTATCAAACTAACTACTTTTCCGGCAGCATTCTGAACGGTAATATCGTAAATGTCATTGTGTTTCCATGGCAGACATGCGCACCAGTGTGGTGCTATGCCTGCGTCATAACAGGATCTGTTCTGAGGTATATCCTTTAAAATACTGATACCTCTTGGTAATTTTAAAGCACCTGTTGTATTATCCATATGAGATTTACCATTAAAATTTGCCGATTGTGCGATGCTAAGAATGTGTTCAAACGTCGCATGAATGTCAAAAGGAGTTACTAGTCTTTTTGAGTTCTTCTTAAAGTTATTATATTCAACATGATATTTCTTTGCAAACCACTCAGGAAAACGAAATGCAAAGTAAGGCATTCGTTCTTCATACTTTCCTTGCAATGTTTGTCTAATATCGTGAAACCTAGCACCATGGTCACTCATTAGAATTAAAACAGTGGAATTAAGATGGCCATTTTCATACATATACTTCATTAAATTCATTAAATCCTCATCCACCCATTGTAATGTATTAGAGTTATCATGGCTATATTCCGAATGAAACAAGAAACTAAATTTCGGATATTCTCTGTAAACATTTACAAAGTCCTTTAGATAGTTAAACATTATACGATGGCGAGGCTGAGATCCTAGACAATATGGCTTGAAAAATTTGTTTAGTTTCTCAGTAACGAGATAAAATGGACGCATGTAATGATCTACCGGTTGCTTATCAAATCCCATCATTCGCATATTAAAGGTTCCAATATAGGCCATATCCTCTCCCCATTGTGTAACATAGCCTAAACGGGAGAAATTCTTCCAAATCCATGGATGGCTGTCGACAGTTGTTGCTCCTTGGTGACCTCTGCGAGCTTCCGGTAATTCTTCTTCTGTCTTACCTGTTAGAATAGGCAATAGTGCTTGAGGGGTTCCGTCGCCAACTATATTATAACCTTCTAAAACTATTCCTTGCAGATCATTCTTGAAATAGGAATGAGAAGATGGGAGCATGCGCAGCCATGTGTTTCGAGATACAGAATCGAAACCAAGCATTAAAACACTAAGCTTTGTTTCAGATTGTGACTCAGCCTTCAGATGATCCAGTTTGTCAAATATTGACTTTTTGATTGCTATTGTCGAGTGAATATTCATGTATCGTTGACCATTTTTAGATTTACACGACGTTTTAATGAAATCAGAGGGTACAGAAACTTTTTCGTCTTGAAGTTTTAACTCTTTGCCATACTTGATTATGTTGTCTGTTTGACCTCTTAATATAGGGACTAGACGACAAATTATTTGTCCATGTTTAAATGTCGCATCTGACATTATCTGCGCAGAACCATTACTCATAGTAACCCAGTTTGCTCCGGTTTTACATTTTTGTTTTTGCAGAGGATGGAAGAAGTTAACGACAGATGGGTGATACGGATCTAGCGAGGGATGGATACAATACTGATTCTGTAAAGCATTCAACAATAGTGGAAATGAAGTAGAATTCAGAATATTTATTTTACCTTGCCCCAGATTAACAGTATGTGGATATCGAAAGAAATCATAATATGCTAAACACCCAAAGCAGGCAAGTATAAACAGACAGAGATTCACACGTTTTCGTAATCTGCGCATAAATATTTGAACACAAATATATCTGCATAGCCGACAAATGTCCATTATATCGATCACAAATATTTTCCACAAAATTATTTCCGACGTACGAAAAAAGTCTTCATTTAAATCTGCAAAGAAAAACACAAATAGCAAATTAATAATGTTTTTTTCATTGTGCACACAAATGGAGAAAGTCATTAGTTTATACGATTGAGTATTTGAAAAAGAGAGGGGAATGATACCAAAGGGTTACTCAAACTCATAAGTCGAAAATAAACTGACAACACCATGGTTATAAAAAAAACCCAAACAACAGTACACAACACAACATAGAAAACTAGACTGAGCAACACGAACCCTACCAAAAATTGGGGGTGATCTCAGGTGCTCCGGATGGGTAAGTAGATCCTGCTCCACATGTGGCACCCGTCGTGCTGCACATGTAAGTACAAACCCGGTGACAAGTCTAATTCGGTAGGTAAGGTAGTAAAAAGATTTTTTTTAACCACGGGAAGCAATACCGTTTCTCACCAATGGGCAGGTAGCACTACTGGTGGACTGTTAGTCCTGGGGTTACAAACGGGCAAGTAGCAAGTGCCCCTTGATTGACACATTCTGAATCGAACATTTTGTTGTAATTTCCAGTTCATAAACATTCTATTTAAATTGAGTTTGCAACTCCTGAAATGGCGACGAGGTTTTCTTTTAACGACCTTGACTACCCATGAGGGTCTTGTACGGTCGGTAAATGGAAGTTGACCTCAGAGAAGGTTTTTGTGGGTCTGTTTATGTCCTTCTACTTTTATGCTCTTTAAAACAACGGGTATCCCAATCCGAAATCCGCGGAGGGACCCGAATCCCGAGGACCAATTAATGAAAAGTTTGAAACGATGGGTGGTCAAATCTGGATCCGATTCCTGAGGAGCAATTAATGAAAAGTTTGTAACGGTGGGTAGGTCAAATTTGGATCCGATTTCAACGGAGCATAATTCCTCAGTGGAAATCGGATCCATATTTTACTTACTCACCGTTACAAACCTTTTAATAATTGCTCCTCGGGATTCGAGTCTCTCGGCAGTTTCGGATCGGGATACCCAGTGTTTTAAACGTTTTTTCATTTTTTGCTTTATAAATTTTGGTTTCGAGCTTACCTGAGGGCGGCTATGTGCCAAGCATGTGGATTTCAGTTAGTCTACGTATTTTATTTAAGATATTTTTTGCAAAATATCTTTCATATGAAAATGTGCGTCCCAAACATAAACATTTGCAAGAGTCAAATCTATGTCCGGCCTCAATCATATGTCCTTTCCTCAGATCTTTGCCCTATGACGTCATTACACTCAAATCTGTGTCCTTTCCTCAGATTTGTGTCTCGTGTCGTCATGACACTCATTGAATGGGGCTAGTCGATGACATTATATATAATTCGTCTACACAACAGCCCAATATTATATATAAGGCTGTTATATAATATTATATATAATTATATGGCCTTCCAAATACCGTTTCCATTCCTAACATCACTGAAGAGACATTAATTGTCGAAATCCGGACATGGTGTACTAATATTTGCACCTTTTGTTTGCGGTAGACCATCTTTTCCGCAAGTTTATTGTTTTCTGTTTGGTATCAAATTTATTATTAAGATCCATTTTGTTACATTTGGTGATCCGTTTATTTGGCAATCGCCAATGGCAGTCTGCAGGATTTTAGAACATCTGTTGTTCGACCTGCTGGTCAAATGCGTTTTGTTGAAATATACTTTTTCACTTTTTTGGTCTTTTGGAAAATGTTGTTTGTGCTGTATTTAGACCCCTCTACCAAGAAATTTTGTTTTGCATGCACACGTATAAAAATTGCGGTTTTATCCAACGCAATCATAGGTTTGAACGTTGTTTTCAATTTAGACTTGTTGTCAATATTATAATGATATATACATAATATACAATTTTATATAGATATTAATGAAAAAGCATATTTTAAAATCTGCCTTCTTCAAGATTCCATTCAGTAATATTTCAGACAATAAAAGAGATGAATGCATTATTCTTTCGATATTCAGTTATAGTTCAACGCGCAAAAGTTGTATGCCAAATTTTCCTAAGATCCCATTTATTTACCTTGACCATAATTGGACTAGACATATACCTCTTTTTTATAATAAAACCTAACAACAATGAAGATGTGTTCATCTTGAAAAAATAAGATGTAAAATAAAAAGCGAAGGCAGTCAATGATAATCCATCAAGTCTACTATGGTCAAGACTTTATTTTGAACCCCCATTTATATCCGTCAATAAAAGAGGTTTTAAAGGAATTATTTTCCTGCCGTGGAAGTACATCAATTATGTTTGTCCCCAACATTTTAAAATTGGGGTTTAGTCTATTTTTTGCAACCGCCCACTTTTCTACAAAGAATTTGAAAACAGATCAGTAATGATCCAAAACATACTTGACGTGCATATTGTCCCTTGAAACTCCCTATTATACAGTCACTTTCATCATCAAATTTTTATTTTTTGCTTGTCAAAAAATGTTCCCCTATTGCAAAATATGTACTTGCAATGTCTTAATGTAGCTTTTTGACGTTAATATGCTGTTTAGAACAGAACTTGTAGCCTTTATTGAATTAAACACGAATTTATATCCTAAAGAAAAGTTGTAAATTAATGACAGATTGTTTGTCTGCAGTAGGAATGTGTATCCATAATAGGAATGATTTACAACTGTTTAGATACGAGGGTATTGATTTTGTGTAGAGATCTTTCCCTGGTGGAAACACTATTAAAACCAGTCGGTGATTTCCAGTAGACGAGTAGAAAGTCATTTGTAATCAGGATCTTTACTGACTACGATTCGAAAATGACAGCTTTTGCAAGATTAAACAGACTATGAGAGCCACAACTGATTTTAGTAACTGTAGAAATATTCAATTCAATTAGTATTTATCATGGTAATTGAGGAATAGCCTATCACATTAACCTGATTTTTAACATCTCAAACTGAAACTTTAAAAATGTAAACAATGAAGTGATTGTGAATTTGACATGATTTGGACAATTATGATGTAAACGAAGGCATACCTTAAACATGAATTACAATTACAGAAAAGACTTTGAAGAATTTTAGAAAATGAATTTTGTCCAATCATTTAAATTAAATAACAATGTAAAACATACTTTATCTTATATAAAAATTCCCTATGTCCTGCCTATATCATATCGTACTCAAAAAGTTCTAAATCTTAAGGAAAGATTAACCTATGTAGTTTTTTAAGTTTTTTTTTTTTTTGCGTTGATTTGATTCTCCTATTGATATTAAGATAAGGACGTGTTAATATTGCCAATGAGACAACTATCCATTAGAGACCAAAGGACGAGAATATAAACAACTCCTACAGTGGAACTAACCTATTTCGTCTTTCTCTTATCCGCCTGTTTGTGCGATTCTTAATTTCATTGAACGTATCTTTGTTTTCTAATGAGTGTAAAGACATTTATCAAAGAAGCACATACCTATCGCACCAAAATAAGCATTTTGTGTAAAGTGTAAAAATTATTGGAAATATTATTTCAAAGTATAAACTGAAACAAAGAATAACATATTCAGGGATAAGAGAAAGACCAGAACGAAATAGATGTCCCCCCTCTATCAAGTCTAATAGATTTGAGCTTCTTTTCATTAAATATAAATACCAATAAGTTAATGGAAACTATTTGTAAGCTACTCACCCAGCACACAGTGCACATTCCATTTCTAACAATACATACAGAATGCTGATATCTGATCAATTTGACAAATATGCTAATGACAGCAGACAGGGAAACAGTTTCTTTGACGCCGTGTGATACAAACAGTGGTTCAGACTTGATACAAATGCATGCACACTATTTGTTCAAAAGGTAGACGTAAAATTTGATAAACTACTGGAAAATGAAAAAAAAATGTCTGCAAATGTCAGCATAGATAATTTTTTTTATTATGGAATATTCCTCAATGAAAACATAAGTTTTTTTTGAACCATGAACCACATTTTGAATCAATAATTTCCTATTAGCACACTCTTCCAACACATATGCTGTTAACTTTTCACCAGCTAATTATGTGTGAAGCAATTTGAAACGAAAGACAACGTAATATAAATAACATATTGCACTGATCGTCGACTGCAAACGAAGATTCAGTTTTCCTTCCAATTAATTATTGGCATGAAATAAATAGAAAAAAAAACCAACAACATTTCAACAGTTATGCTTGTTTATAATGAGCTTAATATTATAACATTTTTCTGGTTTAGAATTGATTTGGCATCTTTATTCTTGCCTTTGTTTTACACTGTGTTTTTGTCTACTACCTTCAAGGCGTTAGTATTTTATTCTCATATTTGACATACAAGCTCGAATTAAGGTACACCTTTTTTTATATTTGCCCGAGACTTAGTATTTAGATTTCCTTTGTGGAGTTTGTGTTTTTTTTTATATTTGCCCGAGACTTACTATTTAGATTTCCTTTGTGGAGTTTGTGGGTTTTTTTATATTTGCCCGAGACTTAGTATTTAGATTTCCTTTGTAGAGTTTGTGGTTTTCAATTGTTGGTTTGTTGGCTAGATCTATATTGTTTTGGTATTCCCCTTTTGTTTTCGGAGTATGTAAAAAAAGGAGATGTGGTATGACTGCCAATGAGACAACTATCCACCAGAGACCAAATGACGTAGACTTATGTACATTTTTGTATATATTTCTTTTTTTCTGTTGTCTTGACTTTATCTTGTCATCTAGGATTTTCTGATAACTGTTGTAGACTTGTTTTTCACATAGACTTGTTTGTCATATAAAGTGGGTTGTCACGTAGACTTGTCTGTCACATAGTCTTCTTTGTCACATGACTGGTTTGTCAAATAGACTTGTATGTCTCATAGACTGCTTTGTCACGTAGACTGGTTTGTCACATAGACTTGTTTGTCACATAGACTTGTTTGTCACTTAGACTTGTTTGTCACGTAGACTTGTTTGTCGTAAACTTTTTTGTCGTAGACTTGTTTGTCTCATAGACTGGTTTGTCACGTAGACTGGTTTGTCACGTAGACTTGTTTGTCACGTAGACTGGTTTGTCACGTTGACTTTTTTGTCGTAAACTTGTTTGTCACATAAACTTGAGTTTGTCACGTAGACTTGTTTGTCACGTAGACTGGTTTGTCGTAGAGACTTGTTTATTACATAGACTGGTTTGTCACGTAGTTCACGTAGACAGGTTTGTCACATAGACTTGTTTGTCACATAGACTTGTTTGTCACGTAGACTTTTTTGTCGTAAACTTGTTTGTCGTAAACTTGAGTTTGTCACATAGACTTGTTTGTCACGTATACTTGTTTGCCACGTATACTTGTTTGTCGTAAACTTGGAGTTTGTCACATATACTTGTTTGTCACGTAGAATTTTTTGTCGTAGACTTGTTTTTCTCATAGACTGGTTTGTCACGTAGACTGGTTTGTCACATAGACGTGTTTGTCACGTAGACTTTTTTGTCGTAAGCTTGTTTGTCACATAAACTTGAGTTTGTCACATAGACTTGTTTGTCACATATACTGGTTTGTCACGTAGACTGGTTTGTCACGTATATAGAAGACTTGTTTGTCACGAAGACTGGTTTTTCACGTATATAGAAGACTTGTTTGTCACGTAGACTGGGTTTTCTTTTGACATAGATGTTGTCTCTCTTTTTCTATTTCTATTTGTATCTCCATATTGAGTCTGGTTTGATATCTTACAACATATCTGAATTTATATTTAGGTAGCACGGTAGTATTTGCATTCCAGAATTTAGGTTGCTCTTTTGTGTACCCTACTTAAGTCAATGTATCTGAACAGTGGGATTGGACAAAAATACAGTATCAACTGAACATACTTTCCCAAACTGAGGGATGAATCAGGTGTAGAAAAATATAAAATAATTTTACATACAGGTAAAAATGAAGTTTTGAGAATTTTTTTAAATTTTGTATTCACTGCATGATAAAAGACCTAAAAGCACTAGTGGCCTCAGTTTTTTAAAGATATCAAAAAAAGTAAACGGTCATGATACATATTCAAATTCATTTCTGAATAGTATAATGAAAGTACTTTAGTTAACTGTTTAGGTAGAATTTTTGGCAGTGTTAGAAAGTGGTGAAAATTTTAAAAAGGCTATCATTATCCCTTATGGGCAAGTAATACTACCGTGCCCCCTTAACGATATATGTTTCCAATAAGTTAGTGATTCAACAGTTAAGTAATTATAGAATGTATGTTTATTTCATAAAAAGAAATCTCCATGTTATAGTAATCTACATCTACTTTAAAATACATTACCACGTGATTAATGACAATTGTGTAAAACGTATTATGTAAAAATTTACAGACATAAAGTGGAATGAAATCTAATTTGTTATATTATGTATACAATATTACAATTTTCACTGCGCATTGAAGTCATTTTTATTTAATTGTAACAAAATCAATTCAACATAAATAAGATATCAGCCGTTTCAATTACGTCGTGGTAGTCTTTTCTGTTGCATGTTTAGATGTAGGGCTTTATGACATCTCAAAATACATGTAATTCTGAAAAATAAAGATGTTAAATAAGTCTTATAGATTAATGGTTATATGTATAATATGTCAATCGTTGTTTTGTAAGACAGACAACCATTAATAATTTGGTTTTTAATTAATTTGGTTAATTCAGAATACTTTGCACTCCTCATGTGTTGTATATATTCGATTTTTAAGAAAACCCATGTGATTTTTTAAGGGTAAATTCGTCTTGAACAAATTTATTTCAATCATTTACAACAAGAAATGTTCCAACAGACACTTGAAACGTCTTACAAAAAGTATGTTTTACTTAGGATCAATAGTGTACTTGTTTTAAATATTACAGTAAGGCCAAGGGCCTCGCCTGTAATAAATTCTGGTCTGGTTCTTAAATCATTCAATAAAGAAAAAACTTCTTCCAAGACCAACAGAGCACTTGTTTTAAATACTAACAATAAAGAAAACCCCTTCTGGGAAAGATGGATCATTTGTTTTAAATACTAACAATAAAGAAAAACCCTTCTGGGAAAGATGGATCTTTTGTTTTAAATACTAACAATAAAGAAAACCCCTTCTGGTAAAGATGGATCTTTTGTTTTAAATACCAACAATAAAGAAAACCCCTTCTGGTAAAGATGGATCTTTTGTTTTAAATACTAACAATAAAGAAAACCCCTTCTGGGAAAGATGGATCTTTTGTTTTAAATACTAACAATAAAGAAAACCCCTTCTGGGAAAGATGGATCATTTGTTTTAAATACTAACAATAAAGAAAAACCCTTCTGGGAAAGATGGATCTTTTGTTTTAAATACTAACAATAAAGAAAACCCCTTCTGGTAAAGATGGATCTTTTGTTTTAAATACCAACAATAAAGAAAACCCCTTCTGGTAAAGATGGATCTTTTGTTTTAAATACTAACAATAAAGAAAACCCCTTCTGGGAAAGATGGATCTTTTGTTTTAAATACTAACAATAAAGAAAACCCCTTCTGGGAAAGATGGATCTTTTGTTTTAAATACTAACAATAAAGAAAAACCCTTCTGGTAAAGATGGATCTTTTGTTTTAAATACTTACAATAAAGAAAACCCCTTCTGGTAAAGATGGATCTTTTGTTTTAAATACTAACAATAAAGAAAACTCCTTCTGGGAAAGATGGATCTTTTGTTTTAAATACTAACAATAAAGAAAACCCCTTCTGGGAAAGATGGATCTTTTGTTTTAAATACTAACAATAAAGAAAACCCCTTCTGGGAAAGATGGATCTTTTGTTTTAAATACTAACAATAAAGAAAACCCCTTCTGGGAAAGATGGATCTTTTGTTTTAAATACTAGCAATAAAGAAAACCCCTTCTGGGAAAGATGGAAATTTTGTTTTAAATACTAACAATAAAGAAAAACCCTTCTGGTAAAGATGGATCTTTTGTTTTAAATACTAACAATAAAGAAAACCCCTTCTGGGAAAGATGGATCTTTTGTTTTAAATACTAACAATAAAGAAAAACCCTTCTGGGAAAGATGGATCTTTTGTTTTAAATACTCACAATAAGAAAAGCTCCGCCAAGAACCAGCATCTTATCAATATTATCCATTTTTTCTGGAACTGTAATTACATTTGATATATAGTTTAAAATTATAAACATTTATGTTTACTTGTATATAAAATGTAAGATTGTAACTGCGTTCAAATGTTCTCAGCTAAAAATAACAGCAGAGTTATCTGAGAAACAAATATTATCTTCGTTAGCCAAGGGTAACGGTCCGTCCCACTCTGGGGAGTCCCACTTTGGGAGTGGGCCTGTTCGTAACCCTTGGCTAGCGAAAATGATCAAATATATTATAGTCATTTTTGTTTTGAAACAAACTATCACAAGTTTTACCTGCAGTTTTTATAAAAGAACTATTGATACAATTTATTGAAATAGGAATGGACTTTTTCTTATTGACGCAAGTTGCAAAACCTTTTTATGTACAAACTTACATTGTATTTTAAAATATTCATGATCAAAATTGAGTACAAACTTACAATGTATTTCAAAGCATTCATGATCAATATTGAGTACAAACTTACAATGTATTTCAAAGTATTCATGATCAACATTGAGTACAAACTTACAATGTATTTCAAAGTATTCATGATCAATATTGAGTACAAAACAATGTATTTCGATCAACATTGAGTACAAACATACAATGTATTTCAAAGTATTCAACATTGAGTACAAACTTACAATGTATTTCAAAGTATTCAACATTGAGAACAAACTTACAATGTATTTCAAAGTATTCATGATCAACATTGAGTACAAACTTACAATGTATTTCAAAGTATTCGTGATCAACATTAAGGTTGTCATCTCGTTCTCCCTCCCATTTCTTGTTTATGCTTCCAATCACATCTTCTCCTGTTTTGTCGTAGATCTGGTTTTAAAATAAAAACCAAAATCAAACGTGTTTGAGATTTACAATAATTGAGTTGAGAATGGAAACGGGGAATGTGTCAAAAGACAACGACCCGACAAAAGAGCAGAAAACAGCCCAAGGCCAAAAAGTTCATTAGAAAATAATCTTGTTTAGCTTTGAAAATATGCATATACTATGCTTAAACGAAATGAACTTACTGACATTCACTGGTCATAATATTCATTTCAGAGTGTATATCTAGTAAAATTGAGAATGGAAATGGGGAATGTGTCAAAGAGACAACAACCCAATTAAAGAGCAGAAAATAGCCGAAGGCCACCAATGGGTCTTTAACACAGCGAGAAAATCCCTAGGACTGTTATATATCTAGGAATGTTTATATATCTAGGAGGGAAATATATTTGTAAGCATTTAATCATTCATCAAATGTGAATGCCGAGGATAATGTTCACGGTCAATATTACAGTAGCATCCATATCAAGTTACAACAACAAAAAACGACTGCATGTGATAACTATATAGGAACAGTACATGTAATTCCTCCAATACCTTAAATGATGCTTCAGTAGAACATCGACACACACAGTTTGGACCTTTTATCAGCGCCACTACATTACCGTCTCCGTCCAGTATGTCAAATCGTTCTTTACACATCCAAGTAAATCTATAATACAGAAACGGGAAGATATTCTTAAAACATTATCATAATAAAACAGACATAAGGAAGATTGTGATTGATTGTTGTTTGCTAAACGTCCAGTGGCAAATATGTCTTACATATAAGGGAGATGTAACTTTGATGAATTACTGTCTATCTTTATACTATACTGCAGTTGACAGTGGATATGGTGGTAAATATATAACATTTGACAGTGGATATATAACATTTGACAGTGGATATGGTGGTAAATATATAACATTTGACAGTGGATATGGTGGTAAATATATAAGAATATTTATCTAATTACAATATATGATACACGCTATCTCCTAACATTGCCGTTCTCTTAAAATGCATAAATTGACACAAAATTCTTAAATGAAACGCCACTTGGAAGACAGACAATTGAACGATACATTTAGAAATACTAGTATATTAACTTATTGATACAGTGTCTACACAACAAACATGACGGGTATAGACAATGCTCTTCATAAGTCAGATGAGTGTTTTTGATCTTCAGCAACACTTTCTGTCAAGCAATAATGATAATGATTTAAAAAAAAATAGACAAAGTGATGCCCCCGCACTCCACTCTGAAGTAACTTTATCATAACAAAGTCAATGTAGAACTTTCTTGGAGATTTTATTGTGTCTGGGAGACACAAATGATGCCCCCGCAAATGCAAAGCGTTATTTAAAAAAAAAAACACACACACACACCGCATCATGTACCATCCAGTCTGATTCTAAATATAAAAGTGTTCAAACACAAGTTACCTCTGTTTTACAGATCCAAGAGTCCTTCCCAGACAGTCAACAACATATGTCTTGTGTACGCACATGAAGCAATCTAGACAACAACACCAGTCACATCGACAGCATGTACGATGTAAAGCAAATACTAGGTCATCTTGCGGAGAGAAAAACTCCAATCGAAATTGACGATTTGGTCCACAGGCCCAACGACATATACAGCTAGACTCTAAGAAAAATCATCAAAATAAGGTAAACGTTTGAAAACAGAACACCCAAAGATATCTAAATATCAAAACTCTCTGTGTCCCAAGACCTAAAAGAAGTCGTATTTTATGATAACTTCTGTACTAACAATAAACAAGAGTAGGTGATTTTACTGTTGGTTGTAATTTTTATGTTGTAACGAACTATTTGTTTTAATTGAACTTTTCGAGACGAATTTCACGAGTATAATGAATAATTTTTTTCTGTTGCAGCAGAAATTTAGTCACAAGTTTCTGTTGGAACGGACTTTTCGCCCTGAGTTTATGTTATAGCAGAAGTTTGTCACGAGTTTCTGTTGGAACGGACTTTTCGCCCTGAGTTTATGTTATAGCAGAAGTTTGTCACGAGTTTCTGTTGGAACGGACTTTTCGCCCTGAGTTTATGTTATAGCAGAAGTTTGTCACGAGTTTCTGTTGGAACGGACTTTTCGCCCTGAGTTTATGTTATAGCAGAAGTTTGTCACAAGTTTCTGTTGGAACGGACTTTTCGCCCTGAGTTTATGTTATAGCAGAAGTTTGTCACGAGTTTCTGTTGGAACGGACTTTTCGCCCTGAGTTTATGTTATAGCAGAAGTTTGTCACGAGTTTCTGTTGGAACGGACTTTTCGCCCTGAGTTTATGTTATAGCAGAAGTTTGTCACGAGTTTCTGTTGGAACGGACTTTTCACCCTGAGTTGATGTTATAGCAGAAGTTTGTCACGAGTTTCTGTTTTAGCAGACTTTTTGCCACGAGTTTCTGTTGTAGCAGACTTTTCGTCACGAGTTTCTGTTGTAGCGGACATATCGCCACGAGTTTCTGTTGTAGCAGACTTTTCGTCACGAGTTTCTGTTGAAGCAGAAATTTCTCTAAGAGTTTATGTGGTAACGGACTTTTAGCCACGCGAATTTGTTGTAACGGACTTTTTTGCCCCGAGTTTATGTTGAAGTGGAATTTTCGCCAGGAGTTTCTGTTGAAGTGGTCTCTTTGCCACGAATTTCTCTTGAAGTAGACTTTTCCCCAAGAGTTTATGTTATAACGGACTTTTCGCCCAGAGTTTCTGTTGCAGCGGAATTTTCGGCATGAATTTCTGTTGTAGCGGACTTTTCGGCCCCAGTTTATGTTGAAGTGGACTTTTTGTCCTGAGTTTCTGTTGTAGCAGAAGTTTGTCACGAGTTTCTGTTGTAGCAGACTGAATATAAAAAAAGAAGATGTGGTATGATTGCTAATGAAACAACTCTCCACAAGAGACCAAATGACACAGAAATTAACAACTATAGATCACCGTACGGCCTTCAACAATGAACAAAGCCCATACCTCACAGTCAGCTATAAAAGGCCCCGAAATGACAATGTAAAACAAGTAGACTTTTAGTCACGAGTTTCTGTTGTTGCGGACTTTTCGTCCCGAGTTTATGTTGAAGTAGACTTTTTCCCAAGAGTTACTGTTGTAGCAGAATTTTGGTCACGAATTTCTGTTTTAGTTTTTAGTGCAACGGCGTTTTCGCCTCGAGATTTTGTTTCAACTGACTTTTCGTCAAAAACTTCTGTTGTAACGGAAATTTTTTGCCTCGAGTTCTAGTTGTAATGGAATTTTTGCTTCGAGTTCTGTTGTAACGTCATTTTGCCTTGAGTTTCAGTAGTTCTATCGAGTGACGTGACATATTATTTTGTAGCGACAACATGTGGAACATCTGTCACTTAATCGTTGGTAAACTACAGGTTATGGTAGGTTTGTTACATGCATACATGTCAGCAAGGACAGTATTTTGAAAATTAATTGCCAATAGAAAATAATATCAATATCTTCAATTTGAATGTGTCAAAGTATGTATATCATGCAAACACATTTATATAACAAGTTTACATAATTTTGAAAGATATATATATATATACATAAGAACCAGCCAGCAAATTTAATATGTACCGGATCGTCTAGAATAGACGATACTGCGCAGATAAGGAAAAAAATATATAAAAGTCTAAAGGTACTAATATTAAATGGTAAAAACCTCATCTTCGTATATTACCATTTTATATTAGTACCGTTGCGCAAATCTTTAGACTTAAATATAATTCAGTAAAACGTTATTGCCCCCCCCCCCCCTTGTATTAATTTAAACCAAATTACCTTCTAATGCATAGAACAATTCTTCTTCATTCTCATCCCAAACTTTATAGGTATTTGGAGCTCCACAACCAGCTGTAAAGTATATCAAGACCATGTTCACATATTTGGCACATATTTGATTATATAATGAATACTACATATTAGATAAATATTTCTTGATCAAATATCTTATTTCTCTTCTCATTTGGTTAGTAGTTAGCTGTACTTGGGTTTCTGCTTTTTTATAAAAAAAATATTTTGTATGTTTCATCACTAATACGATTTTTGATTTCACTTATATAACTGTTGGTATTCAATACTTAAAATTCAATAAAAAGTCAATCTTTTTCTAATTTTTCAAATCTTTATAGATTGAACATGGTCTATTATATCCATCCCATAAAACGAGGCGTACAAATGAAGTCCCTTTTTATTTTTTCTCTTACACGCGTGCCTTGAAGGCCTTAGAAGAAACAAGACGAAATATTTTGGAAGCCTAACAAATTTAACATTTCAATTGAAACAAAATATCATGAGTCTTAAGTAAACTTAAATTTCAAAATCAAAATGTATCATTTAATTTTGAATGACTTGCTCCGGCGATAATGAAGCGTCACTTACCCAGTGCACGTGATAGCTATGTATGATACAGATTTCAATCTGGATTAACTTTCATCACTGTCACCTATTGTTTTGAACGCCAAAATAAATGAAAAAAAAAAAAAATAATAATAGCATCAAAATCCGTAAGGGGGAAAAGCAGAATAGAAATACAAATTGGCCTGTGGACAGCTTTGCTCGAGTCAACCACAAGAAACAAAATATAATTCAATCAAAATTACCTAGTATATCAGAATCCATTTGCTGTCGGACATAGACAAACCTTTTGCCATCTAAGCATTCCATTCCAGGCGGAGGGTCAATTTTCGGATTTACAGACTTTCTCCGAGGTCTCATGCTCATTCTCCTGTCCGACCCTAGAGTCATTCGGCGATTTTTCATTTCCAGAAGTACATCAGTTGGCGTTCGTGAGTCGCCCGACATATTAGACACAACAGACTGTCGGGGTTGGGTATATATTACAGAGCTTCTGGCTACCCTATCCAGGACCAGAGATTGTCGCCTGTGTTCGTTTCTCTGTACCTCCTCAGGAACAATCATTTTATCCGACTTAAAGGTAACTCCTCTTAACGTAGGGAAACTTTTACCTTTTTTACCAAAAGTACAAAAAATCCGATTCTGTAAAAACTTTAAAAGATGACTTTACTCCAGTTATTCATTCTGATCGCATTTGCAAAACCAATCTCTTAACTAAACTTTATTCAAAGGTGTAAAGAAATAAAATTGATCATCGACTAGAATACAATGCAATGTATTCACTTTAAATAAAATTTGGCAATAAAAGTTAAACGTTTAGTACCAATTCCTAAGTGATCCCATTCATAACTTCAACAATTTGTCGTCACCAGGAGATTTACCTACATCAATAATAAAACAAGAAGTACCTTATACTAATTATGCTACCTTAAATCCTTATAACACATTCTTCAATCACAGCAACGAACACATTGTAATTTGTGTGAACGCCTGTCGACTTTGTGATGTAAAAAAAATGAAATTGCAGAATCCGTGTTGCAAGTTAATTGATATAACAGAATGCCACAACAACAACTTTGGTAAATTGTCATAGATAAATAAGTCAATAATGTACATCAAAACCAATACATGTAAAAAGTAAATTAACAAAAATATCGAACTAAAAGGAAAATTCAAAACGGAAAGTGCCATTAAAACAGATAGAAATAGGTACATCAGAGTAGCGGACAGACAAACTGCCATTTAACAGTTAGAATTTTGGTACATTAGAGGAAAGGTCAGACAAACTGCCATTAAACAGATAGTAAATATATACATTGAAGGAAAAAATAGACAAACTGCCATTGATACAGATAGTAAATACGTACATTGAATGAAAAAATAGACAAACTGTCATTGATACAGATAGTAAATATATACATTGAATGAAAAAATAGAAAAACTGTCATTGATACAGATAGTAAATATATACATTGAAGGAAAAAATAGACAAACTGTCATTGATACAGATAGTAAATATATACATTGATGGAAAAAATAGACAAACTGTCATTGATACAGATAGTAAATATATACATTGATGGAAAAAATAGACAAACTGTCATTGATACAGATAGTAAATACGTACATTGAATGAAAAAATAGACAAACTGTCATTGATACAGATAGTAAATACGTACATTGAAGGAAAAAATGGAATAACAAAAATACCGAACTCCAAGGAAAATTCAAAACGGAAAGTCCCTTATCAAATGGCAAAATAAAAAGCTCAAAGACATCAAACAAATGGAAAACAACTGTCATATTCCTGACTTGATACAGGCATTTCCTTATGTAGAAACTGGTGGATTAAACCAGGTTTTCTAGCTAGCTAAACCTCTCAATTGTATGAAGTTTGGTAGCAATTGACCAATAACGTAATCTTCGAATTTAGTATAACCCACATACAGTTTTAGTAGTGATTGTACTGTTATTTGATGCGGAATTGCAAATATGATACGAAAAACAAAAGCACGAGATATCGCCTACCTGTACTGTTTATGAATTAAAGTCCCCGATACAGTGTAGGACAGTATTATTGTATGTCAGCAGGTGAAGTACTTTGTGCTTTCAGTGAAAAAGTATGTTTTCTGTGCGCACAACACGTTGTTTTGGAATAACCTCCATCAAAGTCCAAACGTTTGGAACAGTTAGTACTTTATTATACGGTAGTATTCATGTTATTCTTGTACTGTGTTTATATTATCTCATATACTCGTATTATAGTATATAATTAATTAATTTTCTGTACGTAATTTTATAGTACGTAGATTGAAGGGGTTGAGATCCAAAAAAAAACCTTTAACCCACCCGTATGCTAATGTACTAGCTCTTTAGAAATTGTAGTTGTTATATTTTAACGTTTATAGTAATTTCGGTAATTTGGTATTAATGGACTCACTGACTTCAAGCTTGACATCTTTTTAAGACTCTTTTCTGCTGTTGAAGGCCGTATACATTCCTCTATATGTCTTTAATAGTGTTTGCTGTGAATAGCAGATATCGGATAGTCTTTGTTAGATTTACTCACTTTTCTAGACTGGATGACTTAAAGCTTGACATCTTCTAAAGAACCTTTTCTACCGTTTTCAGACATCCAATTTCATTGTATCGTTGTATTGATGTCTTGTTTACCAAACATCTTTATTTCGTACTTTTCTTAATGACTCCATCACGAAGTTGTGTAATTGTTATGGAGTGTCTGTGTTACAGATAACCACGAATATGTTTCAATTGTTGTAACCACAATCCAGTCCTTTTTTTCCTCGTTTGTGACATTACCGAATGAGACTTATCATCGACTTTGTACTTAAGATAAACACTATGGCTGGTGTCTAGATGGAGTAGGATCTGCTTGCCCTATCTGAGATAACCCCTGGTTTTTAGCGGGTTCCTTGTGGCTCAGTTTTTTTGGGATTTGTTTGTCTTTTCGTCGTATTACGTTATGTGCAATGGCGTAGTCAGTTCATCTTCGACTTATGAGTTTTGAATGATCCTTAGGTATCTTCCGCCTCTTTACAACCACTGGGTCGATGTCATTGCTTATGGACCTTTTGTCCCCGAGGACATCATCCATGCAGTAGCATAAATGCATGAAACTAAGATTGCAAGGATACTGGCTCGGACGTCATCCAGTATAAAAAGATCCGAAACAGACGTCATCAAAGACATGGTGTCGTCTGAAATAGCCTCTTACCGCCAGACATGAGTAATATTTTGATAACAGATGTTCAATTTACTGGTTGTTTTACTTAACGATCATACTTGACCAGGAGTTACGATGATCTGAATTGTAAATGAACAAATATTGTGGATAGACAAAATACGGATTAGAGTGTAACATGCGCGGATTAATATATGTCGATGAAACAGTTATCATTTCAGATATAACTCGCCAAAGATTTTTCGGACCGGTTGGTATTGGGAAAGATGTAACGGAGGAGATCTTTTCTAAAACTTTTCTTTGCCAACAAAGGTCTCGATGCCATCAGTTTAGGCAATGTTCTTTATCATAAATCAGTTTAATCTAAAATACCTCCCTGCTTTAAAGACCAGTCTTTTCCTATCATATCTTATACTATACCATAACTATTGCGACTAAACCTTTCAATTATAAATACGTGTTGCCGTATCTTGATATTGACGACTTCAAGCGTAAACCTCCTGATTGCACACGTGTTAGTTCCCCATTCATATAAAATCCAACTGGCTACGTTAATATTGGGGACCTGGATATCTCTGCGAAATGTTGTAACCAAAGAACCGAAATACCGTAGTCCTAAATTTATAAATTGGAAACACAACTTTACAATACTAATTGATTCATTCGAGAATTATGACAGGAAATGGACTAAACCCGAAAAGAAGACGTGGACACTCGTTATAAATAAGTGCGAGGTCGTTGATACAATTAAGAAATAAAAAACTGAATGGGTCTGTAAAACATTCCTCCTACTATTTAGATGATGTCCTCTCACTAAATAATTCAAGGTTTAGTGACTATGGTGATCGCATCTATCCCATCGAGCTCGATAGAAAGGAAACCACATATACTATTACAGTTACTTCACTAAGAAATAGACAATGAGAGTCGGTTGAAAATAGAATTAACGAAAAAAGGGGACGATTTCAGTTTCCCAATTTTAAACTTTCTATTTCCATGTAGCAACATTCCAGCAACGGCTGTATATAAGGAACATATCTCCCAGTTGATACGATATTCCAGAGCTTGCGTTTCTATCATGATTTCTTTGATAGAAAATTGCTGTTAACAAAGAAGCTTTTGAACCATTGGTTTCAAGTGTTAAATCATCCCTTCGAGAACGTCAATACAAGTTGGTTGAGTGTTATGAAATATTTGCGTCGCAGATGATTACGGATATGTTCCAATTGTCGTAACCATAATTCCGTCGACTTTTCCTCGATTATGGCATTACAGAAGAAGACTGATCACCGAATTTGAACTTATCATGAGCAACCTGACAGGTGCTTTAACTGCATCTGACATAAACCTCGTTTTTGGTAGGATTTGTGTCGCCCAGTCTTTAAGTTTCTGTGTTTTGGGGACTTGTTTGTCTTTAAGTCGTATTATTTTTTTGTCATAGAGTCGTCAGTTTCTCTTCGACTTGAGTTTTTAATGACCCCTTGGTATATTCCTCTTCTTATTTTCATAACACACTCTACTTGCTCTCAAAACGTCGTGTTTGATTTGGCCTTCCAACTGTTTTGATTCGAGTGCCATTAATGAGTCTTATGTAGACGAAACGCGCGTCTAGCGAACCTAATTATAAGCCTGGTATCTTTGATGAGTTTTTGTAACATCGTTATAAAGACAATATAATCATTTGCTTTAGGAGCACATGATACGACCATCTTTTAATCAGTGAAAGTAAACTTTATGGTGGTGTACTGTTAGTGTGAAATTCAGTCGTTGCAATTGGTTGCTGTCTGTCATATTCATTTTTCGTTTATTGATTTGTTACAAGTCTAACCGTGTTTTCCGTGTTTGAATTGTTTTGAATTTTGACATGCCGGGGTCTTTTGAAGCCGACCATATTGTATGGGATTTGTTAATTGATGAAGGCCGTACGGTTACATTTAGTTGATTACATATACGCCACTACAACTCTTGCTTGGGGGACAGTTGTCTCATTGGAAAACATAACACATCTCTTTATTTTTACTTTGTATGTAGACGCAAAAGGCTTTTAAAATGTCAACTATTCGTGGAAGCTTTTTTGAGTTATCGTGAGACCAAAAGTTGCCTAAATTTACGATTAAAGTTCAATAACTCTCGAACGACTAATCTGAAAATTGTAAAAAGTAAAAGGTACTGCATGTAGCTTGGCCATGTTACATCTAGCGTTGTCTGCCATATTTGGTTTTAGATTTTTGGTCATTGTGAAGACCATAGGGTGACTACTATGGTTGTTTACATTCTCGATCCTTGAGTTCTGGTTGATAGTTGTTATCTTTATACTGCGTTCACTTGTCATAATGATGGGTGAAAGCATACTTGAGTTATCTTGAGACTCACAAAACCTTGCTGAGTTTTTCATTATTATAAAAGTACGACGATTCTGCTATGAACGACTGAACTGTAAATAATTTCACTTTTTGAACCTTATGTTTTTAGTTTGTTTAATAATGATCAAATATGCACTAATGTTAATCTGCAGGTATATGCATAATAAAAAATTAATCAAGTATAAAAATAATATATTGCTTAATGTTTACAGTTTTTGAATTAAAAGATGTTTTACCTCCAGACAGGCATTTAAGAAATGTTTCGTTTTGAAACTGAATATAATTAGCTTTGAGCACAATTAATTTCCACCTTATAACTTAAAATTTGTTTTTAAAACTTTTATAGGAACACGATCTAGCCTTTATTCACTTAGTATCGTTCGGTTGATTGATTATAGAACAAACGTTACAAGGTACCTTGCCGTTTGGTTGTTTGTAGTTCAAATGCCTCAATTAATTTGATAACAGTCCGTCGGGTTATACGGTTTATAAAGCAAAACAAAAAATACTGAAAGGAAAATTCTGATAATCGTTTGATTTTTAAATAATATCACAATAAACGTCAGTTGTCAAAATACCACTTTCAATAAAATATTAAACTCAAAGAGTTTATACAGAAAAAAAATAATCGCTATTTCTATGATAAAATTGAGTAAAAGTTCTGACCAATTTATAATCTGTATTTCTACCGGTGAAATCTAAGACAACAATGCGAATATGTGGAATCAGACCAAACCATGAAATGTACACTTGAAAGAAAGATGCAGACGGAAAATCACAATCCACAAAAAAAAAAACATTGGGTAAGGAAAGTTTGGCTAGGTTACTACAGGATTTGGTATATTAATAAGGCATATTTTAGTCATATATAAATTTATTTGATAACAAAACATATTTTCTTTTGCATACATTATTATAACAAAATACATATATATTTGTGGATAGGCGGCGGAACATACTTTGGATGAGTTTGGCATTGATGTACTTAACGTCTAAGTATCAATCTTCTTTCCTTGGAAAAGGGGATTTTTTGTGTTTTTATAAAAAAAACATTATAACAAGGAAGAATAAATGCAATGAAATAAGTTGTATGGCTATATATAAATCGGTTGATTTTAACGGCTGATACGGAGAAACTGACATTAAATAAATATCTAAAAAGTAGGGTGCACTGAACTACCGCCTATATATTTCTTTTATGCAAGCGTGTGTATATTTATTACAATAATATTTGTGAGATCGCTTATAAATGATACATGTCGGCATTACATCCTATATTGTTTATACAAGCTATTTCTGTTGCATTCACACTTTCGCAATATTCTTTCTCCGGAACAAACCATTACAATTTTGGATGTTATGAATAATTCAAGAATGATTTACATTCAAAATCGAAACAGTATTTATGAGATGAGTATTCTTCATATTCTTGCATTCACAGATAAACAAATTGTACAAGTTACACCGGCTCTTATTTGTAAATGTATACTTTTGTATTCAAGTGAAAACATGTTGGCTAAATAAGGGCAATATGGTTCCTAATTCGATGCCCCGCCTCTTACTATTTAGATCGTATACAGATGCAGTTTTATCCTCCAAGATATAAAAATAAATTAAACACTTTTTTTATTATCGTAGTAGCATAAAACACATTCTTCTTTGCAGTGGTTTTAAATATTGAGCTGGTGAAAAACTTTTTTTTTTGGTACGTACTTGTATAAGATTGAATATATATTCGTAACCACGTCCTATTTGCTGTTGGGAGGGAGTTCGCGTTGTGGTTATTTTGGCATATAAGTGATAATTAGCAAATTCGTATGTTTTGCCCCAAAAAAACTATGACAAACTTAACACCAAACTTACAAATGTGATTATTTTTATATGAAGTAACATATGGTGTTCTTGGGAATGAAACTTTACACCTAATGTCCTGTGGTATGTGATGGAATTTATTTTAAATAGATAAGTTTAATTGCATAACATTCTGAATCCCTAGATGTTGTCCAGATTTTTTCGACAGTAAATACAATCTTCTGATGAATATGTATTCAATTTGGTATTTAAATATAGTCCCCAATAAGATCTATAATTTCTCCCCAACTGAAATTGCCATAAAATTCTAGGACCTAATAAAGTAAAGTTTCGCCATGTTGTAATTCGAACAGGAATCTATCTAAATCGTCCTTTGATACTCCTAGGTGGATTCGGTACGGACTGTTTCCCACGTGATGTCCTGACCACTTGCAATTTATTGTATAAGTCCCTGGTTCATGTGGATTGTATCTACAGTGAAAAATTCTATCTTTCTGACTGTCTCTCTTCATTTCTACATTGAAAGCACCTGAAAGGATATAATATTTAAACCGTTGATTTTATTTTGTGTGATTCGAAGTAAGATCATTGTACTCCTATCCTTTGGTTGTACTATGCCATGCCCTATTTTCCTTACAGTATGCCTTTTGTAAGTCGTTTTATAAACAGCCGAAACCGTGAAAGACTCACATTGAAAAAAAAACTTTAAAGGTATATTGTCATCCCGTTTTTATTTTTCAAGTAGACAAGAAAGGATTATCGCTGAATGTGCATCAGAAACATATTTCATGAAATCAAATGCAGCTAGAAATGACTCAATTTGGTAATACCACTTCAGATTATTTGTGATCTTGTGCTTTCAATTTTCGTCAATGTTATTTCATGATATTTACGACATGGGTATGTATACTTGATTACACTTAACTTTGAAAACAAGTTCTGTTAAAATATCCGATATTAAGAAGATTAAATTCAAACCTACCAATTTTATATGATCTTTAAACCAGCCAATCAATTTAGTAGGTTTTTTTTTTAAATCTATAGCTCTAACCTAATCGTGTAAAATTGGACTTAGTCAGTAAAGTGTATTCCTTTTAAATCAGTTTTTTTTATTGTAAGATTCTTTCTTCGTCTTTCTGCTCATTAGACATGAGTTCACGTATTTGAGGTTGACCAATCACACACTTTGGTATGTAAAAAGTAAGTATTTGTGACATTGTCATAAGAATTATTGGTTATAATAAGATTAGAAAATGCAGAAAGTGACAAACATTTATAATCATAATATAAAGAACTGTTATAATGGGCATATTCCATGCCCCCAAAACAGAGACAAAAGATACCAAACTAATAATATTAAATTACCCCAAAAGACACACAAGAAGAGTTTAAATATCGTTTCTTCATTTGAAATGTATTGGCATCCGATATATTTTAATACGAAGGAACATTACCTTTAGGACCCATCACACTGACATTAAGTTCTCCTGACCCAGCGTCTCTTGCATCTACCCAAAAATGACTTTCATATTCTCCTAAGACACCATTGTTCTCTATACCTGGTCCATGTACATATACTATTCCACTGTGGTGAGGTACCCTTATATCGATTGCGTAGGGACTACCTGCAAACAATTCAGGAAAAACAGTTGCATACTTCTTTTTTTTCAAAATTAAACAGAATTAATCATATGAAATTTATCGAAAATATATATTTCAAACGCTAAACATTTAATTATATAGAAGAAAAAAACATTTTACAAAGGTATGAATAATAGCAAACGAAATCCGGCAAATTCTTATCATAATATGACATAATCCAGATAGAGTTATTTCCCCTCTGTTGCATGAAAAATTACCTAAAACATGTTCCTTATTGTATTTGATAGCCATAATATGTCTGCCGGCCTCCACGGGTTTGAAAGACACTTTAGTAGTACCATCGATGTTTTCAACAAGAGATACAGCCACTTTCTGGTTAGAAGGACCCGTACATTTGGCAGTAAGTTTTCCTACAATATCAATACAACTGTTAGTTATGTCAGACTAAGTTTAAGTAGTTTAAGAAGAAAATTGACATAGATGCAATGTGTGAGTAAAAATTTTAGTGGTAAATAATAATCTTGTTTCAATGTGTGAGTAAATTGCAGAGGTAACAAATAATCTTGCTTCAATGTGTGAGTAAATTTCAGAGGTAACCAATAATCTTGCTTCAATGTGTGAGTAAATTTAAGAGGTAACCAATAAACTTGCTTCAATGTGTGAGTAAATTTAAGAGGTAACCAATAATCTTGCTTCAATGTGTGAGTAAATTCAAGAGGTAATTAAGAATGATGCTATAAGGTGTCAGTAAATAAAAGGAAACTAAATATTTTGTTGCAAGTGTTATTCAATTCTAGACGAAATAAGAAAAGGTTGCAGCAATTTGTTAGTAAAAATTTAGAGAAAACTAGGGCTTGTATTGATGTTGCTGCAAGATGCGTGTAAATTTTAGATAAAACTGTAGATCCTGCTGAAATGTGTGGGAATGAAACTTATGCTAATAAAAATTAGGAGATGTGGTATGATTGCCATTGAGACAACTATCCACCAAGAGTCAAATAAAGTGGATGTAAGCAATTATAGGCAAACGTACGGCCTTTAACAATGAGAAAAACCCTTACCGTAAAGTTGGCTATAAAAGGCTACGACGTGAAAAATTTGAAACAATTCAATTGAGAAAATTAATGGCCTAATTTATAACAAAACAATTTACGAAAAACAAATATGACAGACACGAATCAACGACAACCACTGAACTACAGGCTCCTGACTTAGGACAGGCACATATATGAATATGGCGGGGTTAAACATGTTTGAAGGCGCCAACCCTCCTTAACCTGGGACAGTGGTGTAAAGGCACAACACAAAAACAAACCATGCAAAACAATAATCGAAAAACTGATATAAAACAGAAAAAAACAACCAATCAATTACAGGCTCCTGACTTTGGATAGGCACATATAGAATGTGGCGGGGTTAAACTAGTTTGCTGAAGCCAAACCCTCCCCCAAACCAGGGACAGTGGTGTAACAGTACAACATAAGAACAAAGAAATTGTTTGGATATTGATACATGACGGGAAGTCTTTAGTTCATTTAAGAAGACCTTCTGGCAACTGTTAATTAATAGTAAAGCTGTTATTGTGATACATAGTGATTATCCTGTATATTTTTGGTATATAGTCTTTCATTGGTATACATTCTCGAGTACACGCATCCAAGATTTTTTTCCACCAGTCCTTGAAAAATCCATGTGATATCATCCTCGAAATAGATTAAACATGTAGATATTGCAAAATTTTGATGACATAAAATTAAATGTCACATATAAGAACATAAACAAATGTTTAGTCGATCATTATTTACTAAGAACTATTGATACCGACCTTTTCCCGCTTTTCTTGGATCTATCTGTAGATGGAAGTCCTTCCCAACCGTTCCGCCTTTAATATTTGCTCCACTTACATTAACTTTCTCCGGGTAAAATGGAGGATTGACGTTTATTTTGAAAGGACAACACTTAAGTTTTCTATCGTTCCATTTGATATCCAGTAAGTAAGCTCCCGGGTAGGCAGGAATATACGTACAACGATACTGTTTGGGACCAAATGGCCTAACTTCGATAGGGATTTCATATTTTGGACTAAACATTTTCGTGGCGGGTTCACCTAAAAGCAGAGATGATAAAGATTATTTAAAACAAGTATTTAGACATTGACATATAAAAAAATAATAATAGATTCTGATAGTTTGGTACAGAAATCGTCAGACCTAATAGTGTGTGCTTGTTATATTAACTGGTTTCAACACACTATTATCTTTTATATCGACAATATGAGCGAACAAAGTTTATCATCGCATAGCAATGTAATGTTCCCTATAGAATGTTATTCGGCTTTGTGCGTTCCTGTTGAAAGTAAAAGGCGCTTCTACGCATGCAATAAATAGTGTGTTGTTCATTTTTGTATCAAAGGTAAGCGTGTAATATTTCAAGGGAACATGGTGTCTTTGTGTCTTTAAAAGGAGGTTATTGCACTGTAAACACTGTAATAAAGATGACACAAGACATTTTTTGGTAGTGATGTTTAAGATGTTTGTGTTTATCATATAAACTATTTACATCATTTTGATCTTAATGAAAGAAAAGGCACGGATCTGTTATGTTTGATCACAACTTTATCATAACGACATCGATGATGAAATGAACTAGACACCTGGTGAAAATCTGTCGTCTGTCATTTCTATGGTAGATGTTCAGGACTAGGAGTTCTACTGGTATTTTAAAAATTTTGTCGATAATGATCTAAAATTGGGGCGATTATTCGTTTACCCAGCTTTCCTTCAGCAATAAAACTCACCGCTATTTATAGAACTCAACATTAAAGCATATCAACGAACAAGCAAATAAACAACTGTAATACTATATAGAGATTAAATTTGAAATATCCAAGTAGAAACACTGATTGATTTTAAAGTCATTTCATCTAAGTTTATACAATAAATGTAACTATACCTGGTCCTGCATTGCGGCCGTCGATGTTAAATGTCGCTTCTTTGTTGGCAAAAGCTTCTTTCAGCCCTTTTCCACTGAGTATAACTTTTGAAGGATCTATTGGTGAATGTTCATAGCTCCTATGTGACAATGCCGGGCCATCAACAATTTTATATGACGGTGACGGTGAACTAGAACTACGACTCGGACTGTTCGCAACATAAGTTGTGTAAATACGGGGCGTTCTGTATACAACCCTTTCTGGATCGGTATTAGTTGTTGCAGTAGAATGTAGACTGCCTGAAACGAAATAGAGATTGCAATGTATATGCATCTCCTTAAATGAAAATAAAGCATCGAAATAAAGTCATACAATAGTTGTCTGAACATATTTCAGAGATTTTGAAATATCAATGATTTCTTTTCTGCAATACAAATTCATTATTTTTATGAATAAATAATCATGCTATGCTATCTGTCTTGACAATAATCTCTGTTTAAAATAAATAGCCGTTAAGTAAAAAGTAAAATACTTAGTAACAAAAATACCGAACTCAAAGGAAAATTCAAAACAGATAGTCCCTAAGTAAACACATGTACAAAAGTTAAGTACAAACTTATTCAAAATAAAATAACAAGCAAAACGTTAAAAGTCTTCAAATTTACGAATCAAATCTTACCAGTACGCCTTGGAACAAGGACTCTCGGTGTTGACCTAGAACTGACATCAGAAACTTTTCGAATAACAGTAATTCTGGGATCGTCTGGAACCCTTCGCACTAGAGTAATTTTGGGATCGTCTGGAACTCGCCGAACCACTGCAATCTTAGGGTCATCTTGAACTCTTCGAACCATTGCTATTTTAGGTTCATCTACTACTTTTCGAAGCAGAGTTATTTTAGAATGAGGAGCTTTCTTCCTTGAATCGTCGGATGATGATGACGACGTACTGCTTCCGCTCGAAAAACGTTTCTTTTTATTGCGTTTATGTTTCGTAACATAGATTGTTGTTGGTTTTGTATTAGCGGTATTTACCCATGGGCCATCCAATTCGTCTCCGTTTACTCTGAAAATTACCAATATGGTTTGATTATTAATAAAGGCAGCTGAAGTTTACCGAGTTATAATAACAGCATATTTTTTTAACAAACAATGCGTTTTTTTCATAAAATAGAATTTCAAGTAATTTGAATAGAATTGTCATAGAAAATGAAAAAAAAAGAAATGTGGTATTTGTGCCCCTAGGTGATAATTACTGTCAATATGATATGTGAGACGCTTTAATTAGAATCTTAAGTATATAACTAGATCGAAAATAATCAATAAGGGAACGCTTATATTTCAAAGTAAAATATCAATATTAACATATGTAATATTAAGACATATTCCTATTTGTCAGAACAGTTATGTTTAAGTTGCATTACAATTGGTACCGTGCATGTTATTATTTCAGTATATTAGAGGCTTATCAAAAATACAGAATTGATTTTGTAACAAAAAGTGATCACGAGAATAGGATAACAACAGATGAACTGAACTTCAACATACCAGGTGTATTAAAAACGACAAATAACCTTATTCACAAGCTAATTTGGAGGAGATTTTAAATGAGCAAACACAATAATAAAAGAGACATAAGTGAAAAAAAATAACAAAGAGCTCCTCCATGAGCGCATACGCCCGTCGCCTTTTTCAGTGAATAAAGTTCCATAACTCAATGTCATATCAGAAATTTATAAAAAAAAACTAAAAGGAGCAGATTTAATAGATGTAAACCAGTCACCAAAGTTTTATGAAAACTGCTCAAAGCATTTTTGAGTTTTTTTTTCAAAAAGTAGACAAATTCCCCCTTTTTCAGAATAAAATCCCTTAACTCAGAAACGTAAAATCTAAAAATTATCAAAATCGAAATGGAGCTTACGTCAATAAATATAAACAATTCACCAAAGCTTCATGAAAATTGGTTAAAGTGTTTTTGAGTTATTGTCCGACATATTGACGACGGACGGACAGACAGACGGACGGACAACGGTATACCATAATACGTCCCGTAAACTGGCGTATAAAAACGAAAAACGACGGAAATATGAACAAGTCCATAAAACACTACATAGAAAACTAAAGTGAGGAGCATCACAAACACAACATTTCACTTATATCATCTCAACTGTCTCTGCTTTCATTCCTACTGTCAAGACAGACGTATATATCACTTATATCCTCTCAACTGTCTCTGCTTTCATTCCTACTGTCAAGACAGACGTATATATCACTTATACCCTCTCAACCTCTCTGCATTTATTCCTACTGCCAAGACAGACGTATATATCACTTATATCCTCTCAACTGTCTCTGCTTTCATTCCTATTGTCAAGACAGACGTATATATCAATTATACCCTCTCAACCGTCTCTGCATTTATTCCTACTGTCAAGACAGACATATATATCACTTATATCCTCTCAACCGTCTCTGCTTTCATTCCTACTGTCAAGACAGACGTATATATCACTTATATCCTCTCAACTGTCGAGACAGACGTATATATTACTTATACCCTCTCAAATGTCAAGACGTCGACCCGAAACTATGACAGACGCATGTATCACAAATACCTTCTCAACTGTCTAGACTTCAACCCGTACTCGGTAAAGAAAAAAGTGAAATAACAAAAATAACGAACTCCAAGGGAAATTCAAAACGGAAAGTCCTTTGTCCAATCGAAAAAAAACAAAAGCTCAAAAACATCAAACCAATGGAAAAAACTGTCATATTCCTGACTTGGTACAGGCATTTCCTTATGTAGAAAATGGTGGATAAAACCTGGTTTTACAGCTAGCTTAACTTTTCACTTGTATGACAGTCACATAGAATTCCATTATATTGACAACATTGTGTGAGCAAAACAAACAGACATGATAGGTAAGAATGTCAAACATTGGGGTACGGCAGTCAACATTATGTTAATCTTAATCAATATAAAATCAAATAACTTTTTCAACAAAGAAAAAAAATGGCATATAGACACTCTATAGGCAAAGTAAATATGCAAAAGTGAAAGACAGGTATACAATAAATGCCCATAGTACAATAACACAACGGCTGGAGGTAAAAATACCGGCCCAGGCCAAAAGTATATCACGAAAAATGGACTAAACAGTAAAGGTTAAAAATATACAAAGACAAATAAAAAGAACACTATAACTCGTAATCAAGATGATAAACGTCCATCATGCATTATTTGTGAAGTTGATACCGAATATTTATCAAAAAAGTCTTGGTTTCTTCCGATGAACTTTATTTTTAGAAAAAGGACAAGACGTTCTTTGACATAACCCTGGTTCATCATCTTTCTGCTCATACACTGGTGACGTTTTAAAAAGTCTAAGTAGCAGCTGCAAGCTCTTGAATACCGATTGAGTTGGGAAATGTATATCCCATATGCAGGTGAAGTTGGTATATTGCTGCTAATGAGGGGGAAATCTATAATTTCAAAAATAAAAAAAGCGTCTCGTTTGTCATAGATTCCGGTACTGACCGCTTATGTGATATTCGAGGTATAAGTCTAAACATAAGGCGGAGGAAGCCGTGTCTGTTGTTTCTTTAATTTCTAGTTCTGGAGGATATATTAAAGGAACCCAATCTGAAAAATTTGGATTTTTAATGGAAAAAAAAATCATCAAGATATCTGAATGTGGTTTTAAATGATCTTGGTGCTTTGATCTTCTTGTTTTTGACAAGTGTCCGAAGGAACTTTGACTCATATGTGACAGACGTGTATATCATTTAACAGAACAAAACAAAAATTTATTTGAAACCGAAATCATGAAGATATTCTTTTTTATCATTGTTAAAGTGTTTGATACGTTTGAGGACGTGCTTTGTAAACATAGAGTCGGTATTCCTATTGGAAGCAACAGTTCCTCATCTTTTCTTATGGAACTTGTTTCTCTGTTCATGTGAGGCATATAATATACAGGAGCATAATTATCAAGAAGAATGAAAAGATCAAAATATGTGAATTACATCAAACACAAAATTAATATGGATACATGAGATGTATAAGAATTGAAACGACATGGATCATAGATTTATTTGTCTAAAGACTAATTAAGAGATTAACATCTGGAAATTTAGAATCAAGTTTTAAGACGAAAGAGGAGATTTCAGCTTTCTAATTGAGAATTTCATTTGCTTCTGTAACAACATTCTAACAGCACCTATATACCTACCGTCTGAGACAGACATATGTATCACTTATACTCTACAACCTGTAAAAACTTCATTTCAATTCTGTGTTGGACAAACTTGTGTTCGTTTATGATGGACGACTCAAGACGAGAATCTATAGCAAACGACGTGATTTCAACTTTCAAATTATCCCTTCCTATTTTTCAGACCCTTTTCTCCGTCGTATGACGTTTACATATCTCCGTTAATAACTTTCGCTCGTGCTTGTTCACACTAAACAGACTTCATTAACAGGGGTGTGCTCTTAACACAAACACTGCTCTAACAGAGTTATTAGGTAGAATGACTGAAATCGACACTACGTAGGTGGTGCGGTCACCATCACGATGTGGTTGGCCGATACGATTGGGTCGGTTCCCTATTCACTATAGACTACTTTTCTTTGTATTATATTTAAAGTTACCAGTAAAGTTGTCTGATCTGTAATTTTACAGATTGTGTCCTATTTTTGATTATGACCTTTTTTACAAATTGTGAACTCGCACAGCAGGTGATGCACGCATAGTTGCTTACCCTGTCGATGCACCCGGTCTTGCTTGTTTTGGAGTTTTATGCGATTGCTCACTAAATGTTTGTTACCTTTATTAGTGGCTTCCTAATTTGATTTGAACCTCGGTAAACTACTGTCGCCTTAATTTATGTATTAAACTTGTATCTCTTGTAGCACTTGTGGAAGTTTCGTCCCCGAGGGTATCACATACCCAGTAGTCAGCACTCTTGTGTTGACAAGTACTATCATTGATATGTTCACTTTTTGTTTTATTATTCATAAAAAAAAAAAAATAAATAAAGTGTTGAACTTTTCGAAACACTAAAGTGATAGGGAATAGACTCTTAGCTGTACTTTGCACACTTTGTTTATTCAAGCGCCGTTAATGTGTCTAATGTAGACAAAACACGAGTCAGGTGTACCAATTTTTAAGCCTGATGTCTCTGAAGATTTTTGGAATGTCCTATCACCTGTCTAGACTTCAAAACGTACTATCAGGAAAAAACGTTGATAATGACCTAATACGATATATATGAGCAGAGGTCAGTAAATTTCATATGGGGTGAGAGCGAAGTGTGCTAGTGACCTTATACGTATGGGGTCAGTAATATGGAATTTATTGACCCCATATATATCGTATTCGGTCACTAGCACACAGTGTAAAGAATTTATCTTACCAACTATCTTAACATGTAGCATTTAGACTAGTGGCGTACAAAATTTTAATACTGGTATTTATAATGAGTTTATCTTCTACCAAAATGATCAAGTCTTCAATATTAAGAACATATTGGTCTATACAAAAACAAATGCCAACAATAACAACTTGTTACCTATTAATAAGTTTTCTGCATTTATTTTCAATTGTTCATCATCAATTTCTTCATCTGTTATATTAAAATAAAACACGACTACTAACCCCATTTTAAATATACAAGTCTCCACGTGTTCGCTTTTAACCAATGATATTCTTAGAAGTGTATAGGGGTAAGATAAGTATTTATATTAATTGTATCCCGTCTTAAATTTCCTTCCTTCTGTTTGCGACTGACGTACATCACTTGCATACTCTCACATTTGTATGATTATTAAAACTGTCTGTGACAGACGCATAAATCACTCTCACCTGTCTAGCGATCTATCCCTATTGTCTACAGTAGACGTATATATCACGGATTCAGGTTGGAGTCTTCTGTTGTTTGGGAGTGTCGTATATTTTACAGGTTGGTGTTGTAATGTTCTATTGTTCGGAACTGACGCATACAGAATAGGCTGTTGTTCTATAGGTCTGTCTCTCTGATTTGACAATGATTTATATTGCATCGGTTTAGGTTGTACTCCTTCTTGTTTAACCGTTGGGTGTATAAGGTGATAGTTATATCTGAATATGTAAAACATGCGTATAACATTATCATACATACTAGGTCATGCAAATAATCTAAAACTGAACTTTCTAATGTTGAATACATTGTATTTATACACTACTTTTTAAATTTTATATTATTTCATACACAAAACTATTATGTACAAAGGATATATACTACCAAAACTTGCATGTATATTTAAAACAAACAAACTGAAGAAATAGACTCAACAACATATTACACCAAATATCTTGCATATACTTTCCAGAAATGTTGCATACAAAGTTTACTTAATATTTAATTTTTCGAACCCTTACGTTAGACATTTAAAACTGATGGCAACAACATCTTTAGAAATGTCTGGTTATTTATAAACTCAAACAGATTCTGTCAGGGTGAACATTTACTGTCATCCAGAAACAAACAAAAACATAATAAACAACTCATAATTATGAAAACTAAGGGCATTATCATTGATCAGTAAATTCCGAATCGGCCAAATCACAATTCACTTGAAGTTTATGGTTCATGATATCATAAATTTATAGAATATTCTGTCGCGTGGAAATTTAGGTTTCTACAAACAAAAAATATCCTCCTATCTTCAAGAGGAACAAGGGGCATAATGCTTGAACGGAAAAAATAGAATTTGATCTAATATCATTGTTTATGCGGTACATTCATTATCCTCCGGAAAAATCGAACATTGCATGTACTTTATGGTCCTAGACATTATCTTTAATTTTCATGAGATTTGGGTAAGCGTTTCTCTCATAATCACCTAGACACCAAACATGTGGTGAACATACTGACATGTTAATTATTACACAGGGTTTAATGACTTTAACATCAAAATGTCTTTTAATAATTGGTCACCAGCTAAAAAGTACATGCATTCAGTATTGAAAAAAACGAATGTAAAATGCTTACCTATTTGGACTGTTATGAAGGTGGCCTGGATCCGACGAATGATGTTGCTTTGGCTGCATAACCACTAATGGGGATAAGACCGGCTGATGTTGGTTGTCACTTTCAGGAAGCCAAACAGCATAACCAAGAAACGGTTTGGGTGATATAGGGAAGTCACACCACTTAACGTCTATATAATGGCGACCTTTGCAAAGCCAAAATATGTGTATACAAAACATTTCGAATGCAAAATACAAAAATCAAATCAAACATCTTACAAATAATACAAAATAACCAGATATTTAAATGAAGAATAAAATATAATCAACAATATACGAAATTAATACTGCTAGATTGGATAGCTAATACCATTGAAATAGTTTTTAATTTTGTTTGCTTCTTTCTTTACGTATCTATAAAGTAGGTTATAGAAAATAAATATGTTTTTTTCGCAATGATTATAAGGAATAACATAAAAGGTACTAATTTTTCTGCACCAGATGCGCATTTCGACAATCAATGTCTCTTCAGTGATGCTCGAGGCCAAAATATTTGAAAATGTAAATACCTTCCTCTTTTGGTGTGAAAATAAGCGTGTGTTTCCCTCCTATTCTGGAATCTATAGCTACCGGAACCTTGTAACTAGGGCCATGTACTTCAGCGGTCAGCTCACCGAGACCAGCCTCCGATGCATCAAATGGAATTTGCTTCTCTTTATTTACAATAAGTGGGATTCTGTCATGTTCATCAAGAAGGGGTTCCCATCCTCCAGAAACCCGTATTTTAGAAGGATCTACTATTAATGGTCTGAAGGGACTATCTACAAAACATACGAAGATGCGAAAAAATAAATATAGGTGTTCTACACCTGAGTAATAAAATAGCCGTTTTAAATGTTTAAATTGGTCTGTTCATATTCTTATAGAGTTTGTTTTCCAATATATGTAAAACTTTTGGTTGCATGTATTAATACTGTTATAGCAGAAGCTATTTTCTCTGATGACGCACTTGAATATTCTGTATTATCAACTACAGGTTTTAAATATGACAAAAAATGCCGCTCCCACTTAAACTGGGCGAACATTATGTAAAACCAAATGTGAAATCTGGTGTAGTATAAGTCGGTGCTTCGGTAATGACATGATTAATAATATGTTTACTAAAATTTCCCAGTTGATAAATTAAGAAGTTATAAAGAACCTAAGGTTACAACCTTAACTGCAAAGTTGATTTCAGAATGATTTAGCTATTCTTTTTATATTCCTATTGATCACAAATATCATAACATTGGTACGTATTTATACACCAACGGCTTTCGAATGTTTATGAATGATCATTCCTCATGAATGTTAAATAAGAAGAATGACGAAAAAGGAAGACCTGACGAATACGATCATGCACCGCTGTTGTTAATTAGCACAGGGAAGGAATTTTGTATTTTCCCTTCTATTATGTTATACTTCTTAATTGGAATAGGCTAATACTTTTTAGTTAAGGTGGTAAATAACACTACAGGGAGATAACTTTTTAAAAATCAGGCGAACGTTTTAATCACGTTCTATTGTTAAGGAAATTTTAGGCTTCTCAATGATCAAAATTAGTGTTTGTCAAACTGCTATATATCCAATGAAATCTTTCCGATAAAGTGTGTGGTTCAAGTTTTTTGAAATTTTTATATTTTTGTCAAAGGGTCAAAGTAAATATTATATTATTTTATGAAAATTAAACGAGCCAAATTAATTTTAGTCAAGGTGTTTGGTACCACCGTAAATAAATATTATCGTAATACCTCAACATAATTAATGATAAAGTACATTGCCTATTTTTAATTACTGCTTATTTCGGGTTTTGAGCAAAAAATGTATTTCCGTTTTGCAATCAGGTTTTTGATATCACAATAATTCCACTGAGTATTAGACAAATAGTCCATAGATAGTAGTTGCAATTGTCAAGTCTCAACCCAAGCAGTTACTTTTTAGGAAGGATATTTTACGGGTTACCTACCCCTTGATGAAATTGATGCATTATGAACTCGTCTGTGAATACGACCGCCCATGATCGAGCATAAGTCTACGTATGCATTTTTAATAAAACAGTAACATAGAGAGCATAACAACGATTTTGGTCATGTTGATTAGAATACTCTACCCTAATTTTATATTAAAAAAATATTAAGAAGATATTACATGGAGTCACTAGATATGTTCATTTAGACAAAATATTTACAACAGAAATCTGGCCAGTACAAGAATTTTTTTTGGAGGAAATAGAATGATATGAATACCGACTTTTAGCTGAAGCCCGACTCTGGGTGAGGGATTTTCTCGCTGTGTTGAAGACCTATTAGTGGCCTTGGACTGTTTTCTGCTCTTGTTCGGGCTGTTGTCTCTTTAACACATTCCCCGTTTCCATTCATAGCTTTATTTCTGATAAGGGACTTCTTCCTGTTTTCAATTTTGATATTTTCTTTTTTCTGACACACTCTTCAAGAATATATCAGTGTGTGATCGTTTCAGTTGTGTTTTGAAAATGATGCATGTTTGATTGTACGGTGTGAAATTACAGTTTTGTCATCAATAATGAATATTTCTAGTATGATAATAATTGTGTTACCTTCTATATTTTTGCCATCAAGTTTGACATGTATTCTATGGGGACCAGCTTCCTCTGGTACATATGTAGCAGTGTGTGTTCCATCGTCGTTTGCTACTACATTACAATTTATTGGGTAATGTGGACCTGTAATGAGTTAAAATTGGGAAAACATGAAAACCGAAAAATGTATAATTTAGGTTAAAAAAAAGTAAATACTTTATTATCAAACTGTTGAGTGCTACGCCTACTGTATTATATTTAAAAAATTGTTTTTATTATTTTATCTTTATGTTCACCTCTATCCTAAGTTAGAGTGAGGGTTAAGCGCCTTCGAACGTTTAACCTCGCAACTTTTAGTATGTGCCTATCATAAATCAAGAGCTTACAATCCAGTGGTTATCGTTGGTAATTGCATGTCATTAATTGTATTCAGATCGCGAGTCGCTCTTTTTAATGTTCCAAACTTGACCATTCTAATACTTTTAAAAGTTTACTATTTAGTTTCGTTTTTCTCATTGTTAGAATATGATGGTGTAGTTTACATCCTCGGCCATCGTTCTTTAGTGGATAGTCATATCAATGGCAATCATATGAGAGAGAAACAACAGATACCAAAGGGATATTCAAACTAATAAGTCGAAAACAAACTGACAAAGCCATTGCAAATATAAAAGAAAAACAACAACAAGAAAACTAATGAACCTCACCAAAACCGAGGGTGATCTCAGATGTTCCGAAAGGGTAAACAGGTCCTGCTCCACATGCAGCACCCGTCGTGTTGCTTCTGTCAGTACAAACCCGGTAATAAGTCTTATTCAGTAGGATACATTCGAGGAAAGGAGGACGGGATTATGGTTACAACAATTGGAACATATCCGTCGTCATCTGTGAAACAGATATTCCATAACGGTCAACCAACTCGTAAAGTTCACAATTGTGAAGCTGAAATCATTTCTTTTGTCGTAAATTTTTGTTCTCAACCCAGCCTCGTTGAAAATTTGTAGATGAAAGTCAAGATATGAGTAAGACTTAATTGTATCTGTTGTATCCTTTATCTAATGTTCGATGGGATAGATGCGCTCAACAAATTTTGAATTATTTAGTGAGAGAACATCATCTATATAGTTGAAAAACTCGTCCTCCAAACGTGACAAATATGATGTCAATTAAGAAATCAAGCATCTTGATAATGTAAGTTTCAGAGAATTTTTTGTTTGATTCAGAGTGATTTTTTACAAAGTACAATTTATCCCTCTCTTGTATCTACGTTGGCTATTTTTTTTTATGAAACAAAGCAGGACCAACTCTTTGAATTATTCTTTTAGTTTGGAATGGGGAATACTTGTGAAAAGGGTAGAAAAGTCAAATGTTTTAATACTATGCAAGAGAAGAGATATTTAGATTGTATGTACTTTAACAATTCTTTCGAATTTTTAAGTATACATATCTGATTAACACCACCCCTGTTTATGTAGTTCCACGATAACTTTGAAGCCCGGCTTTGATTGCTGATAAAATTGATGTCAATAATTTAGAAACTTCGTGGAGCACTTGGAAAACGCAGCAATATAACGTTGTTTGTAAGGAAAATTATGTCATTTAGGTATCCAATACAGTGAAGGAAGATCCAGTTCTTCGTCTTTGGTTGATATTCCAAATGAACAAAGAACAAACCTATGATTATTCAAGATTTACTCCTAGGTAAGAGTAATGGGGTATATATTGAGTTTCCAAATGAATTGTCAATACCCAATTCCTTTAACAAGCAGTTAATGTAATGTGATTTACACTCAAAAACGATGTTATTTGGGACTTTATCTGCGGGGACAACAACATATTTTCCATGGAGGTAGGATAGGTGCTAAGCAACATTTGGATCATTGAAGATCGATGTAGCATGTGTATTCATAGACCCATTCTGTCTTTTTTAAATTCTAATGAATGCAGGGATGTAATATATTTTCAAAGTCTACACGGTTTGATGTAATTCATTGTATACATTTTCAAATGAATTGAATTAAAAGCTACCTACGATTTTAACAGTTTAAGTTGAAACATTTAAGTATGACTGATTTTTTGGTTTTCAACTTTATCAGGAACGGAACATTGAATAATTATTCGCTGTAAGTAGTCAGATGGGTTGAAATTTGTCAAAGAAAGCTAAAAAATTGTCTTACAAGGAATCTATTCGACATCATTTGAATACATATGAATGCAGCTTATGTTGTGACTTTACTTGGAGATTGTGCTTGTGCTGAGAACGTTGAAAAGAATGTCAGCTGATAAAGTTCGAGAAGCCAGCAAAAGGACGGTTTTTTTTACTTACTAGGTCCGTAAAAAAATCTATATCAGCACAACAATATTAAATCTGCAAATTTGCGAAAGCAAATTGTTCTTCCCTCGCCGGGATTCGAACTCATTCTTTTGGGATATCGAGACAACACCGCCTGCACTGTGTCCAGCGCTCTAGACCACTCGGCCACATAGACAGAACTAAAAAATTCAGCTTTCGGTGGCCTAGTGTTACCTCTCTTCGTCAGTAGAATCTAGAGTTGTAATACTGTACATGATATATTAGGCATGAAGATGGAATTGATTGCAGATTAGCTAAATTAATTTATGATATTTAGAGTAATTACGAATATAATATGTGTTTTCAGTCGTGTATCACATTAACTGGTGATCCAATGGATGGATCTGTCGTGGAGTTGTCACTTGTTTAGACGTACTTATATATATTTATATATATATAGTAATATCTATATCGGGTACAATTGGCCTTGAACAATATTCGGTGGTCATACCGATTGTTAATAAGATGGCGTCTAATCCCAAAAATATGCACGAGTTGTTGATTCAGTATAACGTTTCCATGCATTGTGTATTGTTTCATCTGGAACTTTTTTAATTCTGTTATACATTCAAGTATGTAATAAATAAAATTTTAGATTTTGTGTCAATTCGGTGAGCATAAATTTGTCAGGTAATGTCGCTTTTAATTAGCTGTAATTTTATTCTAAACTTTCTTCTTTTATATACCAAGGACTAGTCTTACTTTGTTGTATGTATTTCAAAGATATTTTTTCATCTAAAACGCACCATCAATTGTAACAGACAATTCACCAGGAAACCCTCTTGCATCTATTTTAAATTTAGCCTCATGACCTTCCCTGCCTCTTCTCAACCCTTCACCAACTGCTGTAGCAGCAATTTCTTCTATTTCTTGTGTAAACGGTGAACCTGTTAATACAAAATTATTTTTATAAAATATAGTTCTATAAACCTACAAAACATTTCCACAGTTTATCCACATATATAATACATCATTTACTGTGTTACAACCCCAGATTAAACCAATAAGGGAAAGACATAATGTGACTAAGGAAAGTTGACTGAGTGGTCTAGGGCATTGGATGCAGTAAAAATCTTGTTGTTGTCTCAACAGTTTAAGTTCAAATCTTTCTGAATGAACGATATGAATGTGTAAGTGGAAAAGAGCAGTTTTAACATTGTTCGGCTAAATATAAAACTTTGTTTATATTAAACATTTTACAAAACTTTAACATGTTAAATTCATCTCAGTTATATGAATGAAAGATTTTGAAGTTACAATAAAAAGAAGTAAGTAAAGAAAAAAAACTAAATTCAAATGAAAAGCTTTAGAGTGGGGTTATCTTCTGTCCAAAACATGAATTACATAACCAAGTGAAATGACGTCTTCGATGATATGATGATGCCCCCCCAAGGGTGACTGGGGAATAGAAGTATGGTCACCATTGGTCTTCCTCCGACCGGCAGTAAAACCCTTGCTAAAGTGGGGCGTCCGTTTGGCTGTGCGGGATATACAAATTTGCGGTCGGAATGGGGACGTTAAATCCGATGTCTCGTGTAAAGAGAGTGCCACGCTCTTTGCACGTTAAGAACCCTTGCAACAACTCTTTGAGGGGTCCGTAGGTGACCTGTTGCAAGGCTAAATTTCTTTCCCTATCCAATATACCCTCATTTCCCGTGGCAGTCTAAATTTATCTTAATCCCGCACGCCCCCTTTACAGAACCTACCTATTGTATTTATTGTTAATTTGTTCTCGTCCTGAATATGCATGCAATATTTGCCACTGGACGTTAAGCAACCAACAATCAATCAATCAATCGATGATATGATGTGGTGGCTATCACTGCTCGATACATGGTTGCTAAAAGATGTATCAAATGGTAAAATTCAACAACCGGGAGTTTATTTAAAATCCAAATCTATTAGTACATATCATTTTAAGGTTGGACTATGTTTAGTTAATTTATTTAGTCTATATCAATCATAATTTAACTATCCATATGTTTTATCACTTTACTGGGCACAGACCACATCAACCACTAAAACTGACTCCTCCAAATAAAACATTTGCAATAAAATCAAAAACATACAACAGCGAACAGCACATGGTCCAGATCGTTTGACTTGGTACAGACTTGAGGGCGGGTTAAACCGGTTTAATGTGCGCACAAACCGACCCTTAATCTATCTAGAACTTATTTCGTAAACTTGAAACGCATAATAGGATGACCACTAATACGAACAATGAAAAACGGCGCATAATTTGCAAAGCAGGATCAAGATGTTTTGCTAGTACAGAATACTAACTTCAGCTGTTCAAAGTTCTGTGTCTGAGCAGAGTTAATGAGCCAAGGTTTAGTCAAAGAACGTCTCGTCCTTTTTCTAAAAAAGTTCATCGGATAGTACCAAGACCTATTAGAAAAATATTCAGTGTCTACATAACAAATAATACACGATGGTCTTTAGTTATAGATTCTAGGTGCTGAAGTTGTGTATCTTATTTTACTTAAGTTTCCCTGTTATTTTTCTTCGTGCTATTCTGCTTCTTTTGGTTGTATCACGTTTGACACGACTAGGTTTTTATTAATCCTGCCATCGGGGTTTTTTACTTTTAACTTTGGCCATTCCTGGTGCAGGTGGGTCCTGAGATGCGATTAGGACTCAAAGGGTTTTTACAGTGTTGTTTCTATTTGTTTACCCGTGTACTTCTATTTACTTAATTTTAACTATATACGGTATGTACTATCGACGACAAAAATCTTTATTTTTCATTTTTTGATGATGTTGTTGTCTAATTTATGTCACTGATGAGCCTTTTATAGATGAAACGCGCGTCTGGCCTATTATGTCTGTTTCGGTTGCTTACCCAATTCTGTATAACGGAACTATAAACAACTGTCATACAAGTGGGAGGTTTAGCTAGCTATTAAACCAGGTTTAACCAACCATTTTCTTTGGAAAAAGCCTGTACCAAGTCAGGAATATAGCAGTTGTTTTTCACTTGGTCCGTTTATTCATAGCGTGTGATTTTGTCATTTTTTATGGACTTCCTCTTTTTTGAATTTGCCTTGGAGTTCATTATTTTTGTTGAGATGAGAAATTATCCTGCATGTTTCTTTTCATACCTTTAACCATTCTTCCATCAAACACAATCCATATTTTGTAGGTTCCTTTACCCCGTGGCTGGAAAGTAATTCTGTAAATACCCGGATCATCCTCAACTGTATTTGCTGGGAAACGATAACCTTTATACGATACATGAGCTTCGATTCGTCCTGGATCTAACCCTGAACAATCAGCTGATAGAAAAAAATCCTATTAAATATGTTATTTGCATAAAAAATAAACCAGAACTGCATATCGTATGCTAGCATATCGAAGGAACTAGTTTCATGTGACTAAAACACCGGTTTCTTGTATCCAAGGACTTTATTTAGGATGTATAAATTTATTCAGAATATTAATTCTAAAAGATAAAAAAAAGAATTCACGTGAATTCCATGCATGACCTATGCACAGCCTTCTTTGAAGTACAAGATTTCAGTGTATGCGAGAGAAAAACAAAATCCCAGACAGTATTGAATGAAAACAACACTTAATAAGATGCATGTGCCAGAAGCGCTTTTCTGGATTTCTCTTCATCAGGAACAATCCGATCAAACCCAACAATTGGAAAATCCGTGATGATGAATACATAAACACGACAGGAGCTTGATGCTCAAAAGAGACCGAAAAAGAAAAGCCAAATCAATTTAAGGTCAACTTTGCTTAAGGGAGTTGTAACCTTATTTTCTAATTATTTTTTTAATTTATCAAGAGAGACTTTGATACACAGTATTGACTTACCTACTAAGTGAGGGAAATTACAAACTGTTCCATCCTGCATGCTGTAAACTTTTATATCAGCTTTATCCGTGATAAACACTTCAAATGGCCCTCCTGTTATATAATCAATCTGCCAGTCACCTACAGAATACACATTGTTTTATTACAGATACCCAGACCCACCCTGTTAACTAAAAACTTGTAAATCTGCTTTAATAGTTTATAGATTTCAAATACCCTCAAGACATGTCTATTAACCAGTTTTTAAATATTGAGAAAATGAAACATTTTATACATGCTGTTGTTCACGACCATGTCGGTGACTTGAACCTATCAATTAAATGATAAAATATAGACCACAATACCTACTGATACAAAATAAAAAGACTGAATAAAAATAATTGTGTCTGGTTGTGTCAGTTGGAGATAAATATTTCTTAGATCACAATATAATAGTTGTTCCGACTTATAGCGTAAGTTAAATCAACAAAATAAACAATCCGATAAAATTAAAGTTACTAGGAAATCAATCGTAAAGGTGAGATTTCAAAGCAAGTATAATTACCCCCAAAACAATTAAATAATCAAAGTACTGAAGTACTGAACATCGGATGACCACAAGTTCTTGTGGATGGTCAAAAGCACTTGTCTCAGAAAAAAATATCACATCTGTATACCTGAAAGTGAGGTTAATGTACAAAGATATATTTTTTTCTGAGACAAGTTCGTCCGTGGATAATGAATAAATGACAGGGAATTCAACGTCACCGTAATAACTATTATATTGTAGTGATACAAATCAGTATACTCTGGTGTGTTGTTATATATTATATTAATGTTTGTATATAACAGTTACATGTATAAAATATAATTTTTATCCATTTGTATATCATTCTATTTTACTATTCTAATAATAGTGCAGTGCAAGTGCATGGTGGACACTCTTCTGTAATAATATGATTTTTCTAATAGATTGGATTTGAGCAGGCATTCATATTTTCCCGCAAAATGTTCTTGGGATATTCTTCCGCATGCGTTAACACAAGTTTTCTGTACGTGTGCATAGAAATTATCAATGATTTTTTACTTATATATATATTTCTAACGACAAAACATTTTCATATTATTAATTTATGTTCTAAACAAAAATATTTTATGAGTATTCATTTAAGAAATGAATTTATAACAAGCGATAAGGAATGTTATTTTGCACTCGATAATGTCCGCGTATTTATAGATCGGTTACCAGTCAAACACGAAAGTTACGTAAGTAGAAATCTCGTCGGCAACAATACATCGGAATGCCGTCACGGTCATCGCGATGTAAAAATACATCAGCAATTAAGAAATTGTAATGTGGCAATAAAGAGAACAACATGAAAATAAAGGGATGTAGAAGGATTGTCAATGAGACATCCACTCACTAGTGACCAAATAACGTAGATGTATAGAACTTTAGGTCACATAACGGTTTTCATCAATGAAGTATTTCCATACCCGTTAGTAAGCTATAAAAGGCCCTGCCAACAAAAGTATAGTGTACTGCCTTTGAATTTTTCTATATCAATGAACCGTTTCGATGATCTAGTGATAAAAAGCACGCCTCGAATGTGGAAGGTCGTGGGTTCGATCCCCAGTCGGATCGAAGCAAAAAGCAGAAAATACCAACAGAAAACAGTTTCTTCTTCTCAACTAACAACGCGTCATTAGGAGTAAGCGCAAAGACAAATCGGCTCGGAGCAGAACAAGGTATGTTATGCTCTTACTGTGTTTGTCAATATTCAGTTGTCAAGGTCAGAAACCACTTCGTTTGAAATTGGCGAGTTACATGTATAAACAATTCAAATGAGAAAAAAACAAATCAAATATGTTTAAAGAAATCATGCCATCTTCACTCAAATTTCGCTGCTGCACCTCCGAGTAGATTTTACACACCAGCGTCATAAACAGTGCGGAAGACAAGACAGTGTACAATGACAAAAGTATACAATACTAAGCTACATTAAAATCAAAGTCATCACTGCAAACATACACATAACGAAACAACTGAGAAATGTTCATTATATTATCTGAACAACATCACAAAGAACGAAAACAATAATTTAACAAAAAAAAAACTCTCCTATCCTTCTTTTCTACTACTTACATGTCGACTTAACGTTATACTTGTCTCTATCAGGTTCTATAGATGTTGAAAATATTGCTCTTCGATGCATACCATCACTGTCGGACCCAAGGAGGTAATCGGAATCTGAAAAAAAAAATGGAATATGTCTAGTAAGTATATGTCTACTACCTATATGTCTACTAGGGAAATGTATACAAACATATAAGCTATCATTTTTATTTGTTTCCTGTTTAATTTCCTTTGATTAAAGATTATCTGTCATCAAACTAAAGCGACAGTCAAGTATTGATAAGACAATTTACAAAAATAGTCTCAAAATCTAGATATTTTTTATACTTACTTCTAACTTTTATTGAAATCAAAATAAGTGTAAGAAATATGTTAAACAAATTATTACCTCTAATTTCAGATTTATTAAAACTAACGCTGACACGGTACACCCCACAAATGTAGGGGAGATAACTGGCCGTGTAAACACCTGTCTGTGTTTCTCTAATAGTACAAGGAACTTTTGTACCCCGAAAGTCAATGTACACTTCCAAATCACCTTTTCCAGCATTTTGGCAGTCAACTACAATCAGAAATTTCTATACATTATTTACGAAATTATTAAACAACTTTTCTTCTAACTGGGTTACTTCAGTCCCTTCAAGGACAAATAACTCTTAACAACAATCTAGTCTTATATTGTACAATAAGACAGCATTTCGATATTAAATAAGCGTTGTTAAACTATGCGAAAGTGAATTATACACATAATGGAACTTTTCAGATGAACATATACATGTATCCATGTTTGCATGTTTACATATAAATAAGAAGATGTGGTATGGGTGCCAATTAGACAACTCTCCATCCAAGTCACAATTTATAAAAAGTTAACAATTATGGGTCAAAGTACGGCCTTCAACACGGAGTCTTGGCTCATACCGAACAGCAAGCTATAAAGGGCCCAAAAATGACTAGTGTAAAACGATTCAAACAGGAAAATCAACGGTCTAATATGTAAAAATTGAGAATGGAAATGGGGAATATGTCAAAGAGACAACAACCCGACCAAAGAGCAGACAACAGCCGAAAGCCACCAATGGGTCTTCAATGCAGCGAGAAAATCCCGCAACCGGAGGTGGTCCTCAGCTGGCCCCTAAATAAAATTGTGCTAGTTCAGTGAAAATGGACGTCACACTAAACTCAAAAACATATAAATGAACTAAAATTAAAAAAACATACAAGACTAACAAAGGCCAGAGGCTCCTGACTTGGGACAGGCGCAAAAATGCGGCGGGGTTAAACATGTTTTGTGAGATCTCAACCCTCCCCCTATACCTCTAGTCAATGTAGAAAAAAGAAACACATAGCAATACGCACAGTAAAACTCAGTTTAAAAGAAGTCCGAATCCGATATCAGAATAGGTAACAAAAGAAACTAAGCAAAATGACAATGATACATAAATGAACAAAGGACTACTAGCAGTTACTGACATGCCAGCTCCAAACCTCAATTAAACTGATTGAGAGATTATGTCTTCATCATATTAAAATCAAGTACAATCCCTCCCGTTAGGGGTTCAGTATCATACCATCATAAAATATATGAGAAGAACATAACCCGTATCATGCCAACAACTGGTTTTAGAATAAATGTGTTTATTTCCGATGCAAAGACCCTATGAGTGAATCAATATAAATACCAAAATATGCAATCCTTAATGACTTGACAACAGTATCTTTACTATATCCTTTCCGAATAAGTCTGTTTAAAGGTTTGGTTAGTTTTTGAGGTGAATGCCGACATTTTTGTGCTTTGTAAAGAATATTACCATAAAATATTGAATGTGAAATACCTGAACGTATAAGATGTCTGCATGTTGATTTATATTTACGAATGATGTCCTTGTACCGATGATAAAATTTAGTAAATGCTTTGACTAGTTTGTGATGTATGTTTACATGATAATAAGATGTTTGGTAACTGTTTATCAAATTAAACGAAATTCATACAGCTATAGATTATGTCTTCATCCTTACCAATATATATTCAAGTTAAAGACATATATGTTATTTGTTATATAGAGTACTTTGTTGTAAAATGTATCTTTTAATGTGTTCATTTCATTTATTAATACTGTACCGATACCGCCGTTGGTGGACTGTTAGTCCCCGTGGGTGTGACCACCTCAGTGGTACGTACTTTGATACTGACACGATTAGATATTATTCTCCGTTGGTATACATTAAAAAAAATCATCAAGAAACTAATATTACAACTCCCTCAGGCAGATTGACCTTAGATAAAATTGGCTATTCTGTTTCGGTTCTTTTCGGTCATATAGATCCCAAGTTTTCACCCAACACATTTACACGTTCCTGGCTTTCGAAAGTTTAGGTTAAATGTTCCTGTTGAATGTAAATCCAGAAAAGCGCTTCAGCCCCACCAAATCAAAAATTGTTTTTTTTTCATTTAATATCAATAAAAGGGGATGTAGGGAATACCTCAATACAGCAACCAAACGACAAAAAATGACTAGAGGACAACATACAGTTTTCAACAATATACAGATGGTTACAAAGACTAAAATTAAGTGGTTTTAAGACGCAAAATTTAGGTAACCTATTCTAGACAGAACATAGCTTCTTGACGGGAGATTGCAAAAATGTACACAAAAGTAAGTTCTATATTAAAAGTTACATATATGATTACATAAGGCACCTTGAATGCATAAGTTTTTAGCTTTTAGCTGTAAAGCGAATTTGTTGGAGTACTATGTTCAAGTTTAAAAAATTCGTCATTTTATTTTATTCTGCCATTTTACATTTACTGCTTTTAAGTTAAAATGACAAATCTGCAATTATATTTTAAACAAGTGTAAACCTGTAAAATATTGTTTCTTGTTAACAAGGCCTCCTTTAAGTCCGGTAACTTTTACTTGTGATGGATCACATACGTCTATTGGACAAGTATCTACCAGCTTGCCGTGGCAGAATAAACTCACTTTCCATTCACCTGGAATGAAGAAAATAAAAGGTTTCAGTAGTTTTTTTAATGGGTGTGTCTATGGAAGAAAATAGTGTTTTATGTCATTTGGTCTCGTGTGGAGAGTTGTGTCATTGGCAATCATACCACATCTTCTTACTTTGATATTTACTGCAGGGTTTGCTACTCGTGCTATGTGGATGCAGTAGAATGTCTCTCCGTACCTGTTGTGTATGCCCACATATTTTAACAGTTAAGGCGTTTTGCTTGTGAGAGAGCTGTCTACATATTTCATTATGTCATTTGGTCTGTTGTGAAGAGTTGTGGCATTGACAATCATACCACATCTTCTTATTTTTATATTGACTATGATGTCTTGCCTTATATCTCTTTTTCACCTACTAGAAATGTACACATTTAACTATTGTGCTTATCATATTACAAGATTAATAATTAATTTGGTTTTGTTTCTTTAATATAATTGTTTTGCAGTAAATACAGCGTCATAACATGTATATGAATCTGTTATGAAAAGTATATAAAATTTTCTGATATAAATTCATTATATCATAATATTTTTCTTTTAGAAAAACATTGTTGTTTTTATAATATATATTCATAGTTTGTATGGTATAAATGGCTTGTATTCACTATTGACTGTGAATTATCTTAAATGATTGCCCTAGAAAAAAAGTGTAATTTTTGTTTAGTTTCTTTTAAATAGATTCCCACACATATTCATGGTTATGACGGACGGTCATTCGCCTATCCTTTCACTGGCGACAGTTGTAAAATACTTATTTTGTGTACCTATTAAGATTTTTTTAATTCTCTTTATTTGCTTTATCATATAGTGTAGTTTACACAGTTGTTGTATTAACTGGGCAATAAAATATAAAATCTATACTTTTTGGTACATTTCCTTACTTACCTATTTCGTCAGGTGTAAATTGAGCATTATAATTGCCATCTCCTGTAAGTTTTACAACCCTGCCACTAGGTGACTCTGCCTCAACAATGACTTCATCTTTGCTAATAATTTCATGAGACTGAAATCAAACAGAAGAGGATTTAAAGTTGAATTTTAGTTTCCACTGTGTTTCATTCGTTGAGTCAACTAGAGCTGTCCACATAGCGAAACTAATACCCTCCGTACATTCAATGTAGTTGCTGCTGTGAAATTCAGTATTGAGACAAAGACCTTTTGAGATTGTTGGCTTTCAGCCATTCATTTTATATAACCATTGCCTATGTATTTGACCATGGGAGTAAAAATATTATACTTCCATGATTGAACTGACAAAAGGTAACTGATATGTCAATATGAAAAAAATTATACTGACGTAGGAACAAAGGCTCGTGTTTGTATACTGTTAATTCAGAAAGTAGGATTCTTCTGCATACAAATTGTTTTCAATCTCTAAGTACTACAGTACAAAAATTATGCACACAACAAAACAAATTATTCAATGTTTTACTATTAACGGTGTTAAAGATCAACAGTGAGGGCAGAGTGACCTTACCTTGATATATGACACATCCCATGAAGTATCAGCATACCAAGTTTGGTCAACCTAAGTTCTATAGTACAAAAGTAGTACGCAGGACACAATTAAGACAACTTTTTTTTTTTAAATACGGATCACAGGTCAGAGTGACCTGATTAAGACATATGACACACCCCAAGCCCATTACGCAACTGCATACTGAGGTTAACCTAAGTTTTAAGGTACAAAATAAATGACACGAATTGGACAAGGTTTTGTTTTCATAGAGGTCAAAGGTCAAGGCCAAAGCGATCTGACTTTGGTATATGAAACACCCCAAGCTCATAATGCGCTCCATGTCAGGTTTGGTCAATCTATGTTCTATGGCACAAAAGTTATGCACAGGACACAATACAGACGTTTTACTATAATAGGAGTCAAAGGTCAGAATGACCAGTCTTAGTTTTATGACACAACCCAAGCACATGATGCAACTGCATATCAAGTTTGGTTAATCTTAGTTTTAATGTAAAAAGATATTAGCCGGAAACGAATTGGACAAGGTTTTACTATCATAGGGGTCAAAGTCAAGGCCAGACTTACCTGACTGGTACATGACATACCCCAACCCATGATGCAAATGTATTAAGTTTGGTTAATTTAAGTTTTACGGTACAAAAGATATGCACCAAATACGAAGCAGGACGGACGGACAGACAGACGGCCATGGTCTTATATACCCCCCTAAAATTTGTTTGCGGAGAGTATAAAAATGTTAATTGACGATACATCGCGGAATTTTAGTACCTAAAAGTATGTATACAAATTTTATAAATAGCAATACAAAAGCTAAATATTGTGTAGACCTAATTTTTGATGTTGATGACAATTTTATGTTACATCGAAAACTTTGGAACCAATGTGAAATGGTTGTACACAAAAAAAAATGTTGGAACCAAGATGAATGGGTGTACCTAAAAGGCAACACATAGCTTAACTTTGGGTAGAAGTTTCAAACTTCAACATTTGCCAAAATCAATGAAACTTGCATGTATTAATCATCTTAAATTATTTTCAATTTGGTTTATTAATGTTCAAAAACATATCATAATATTGTCAGAGCACCAAAGTCCACTCACGAAGCTTTAATACTGTAAATTTTGATAACTATTTAACGATTCTGTTTCTTATCAAATTTAGAGGAAATTGAACCAATCGTTTTTGTTGCCTTTGGGAATTCCTTTTTACAATATTCATGTACATGTATATAACGTATTCCATTGTTCCTCACGAATTATCATGTCTCTTGTTTTGTATTCCATTTAGAAATTATAATGAAATGTGTATCAAAGTAAACATCCGAAAGAGAATATTTCTTCATTTTATGAAAACCTTTTTCTTTTTATAAAACCACTGACAATTGGACAAATCTCTAATTAATATGACTTGAGGAAACCCGATCAATATTATACAACTATAGCCTTTGAATGAGGTCGATACTAGAATATATCGACCATAAAGAAGTATATCGACTGAGGACGAAGTCAGAGGCAGATATATCTTCGTATAGACTTCATACAAATGCTACAATTGTTATATTATCATTGACATACGGCGGAAATAGAACAGAAGATTGGGTCACAGAGTACTGAGTTATTTTTTTTTTTGCATTCTAACAAACACATGGAAATGATTTCATCTAATTTTGCAGGTTCAGGCTCATAAAAACTAGTATTTGAAATTAATGGTATTCTTTTTAAATTTTTCCTACATATTTATATTGGAATCTCTCTAAACATCCATGTGGAGTTATGAGATTAGAACCTCGGTAAACTGATACTGCATTAATCTAAAAAAAAAAAAGGCAACCGAGCTATCGTTACAATTTCTTTGATTTAATGCAAAACATCTCATGTCAAATTTTAAATCGAAGAAAATGTAGTTCATTTCAATATCCGTAGCAGAAGAAACAATACTCACAGTAGTCGAAATAATAACCCCCACTGAGTAAGTATCCACTTTTATTCCACTGACAGTATCCAGCGTGTCCGTTTTATGCTTTTTTCCTTTTTCTTTCCTTAAAGATGGAATTCTTTGAAAGACAAATGAATCCTCTGTGTCATCAAAATTCTTATTGCTGTCAATATGATAAGTTGTCAGCGGTCCATTTTGACTCCTGTAAAGCATTGGGGAATGTTGGTTTGTGTCTACACTTATAGGTTTTGTATAATCCGCACTACTTCTTGTGTCAGATGACGTTGAAATCTTGTACGAGTCTACTTCACCGTTGACCGGATATGATGACAATGTTGTTTTCCGGTGCGAAAAGTTTGGTATACTCCTGCTTGTTACTCTTCGTTCTTCTTCGTACAGTGTAGTAACCTTTAATGGAGATAACTCAATAAACGACAGGTAAGATTTGGAATTATTCTAATCCAAGTGGATTACAGATTAAACTGTATATCCTTAATAAACATGTATTAGTGGTAAGTTTAATCGAAATCATTTGTGAACCTTTTCTGCACCTAAATCTTGCAAGAACATAAATTACTAGCGGTTCCAAAGTAAATGTTGAATTGATTGATTCAACTTTACAGCGTTTTTACGAGTTGAATTATCATATATTCATGATAAAATAATATGAGTTTGTTAACCTTTTTTGCATATTGGCGTTAATATGGAATTGCTTTTAAAGTTGAAAAATTAGAAAGAAGAGAAATGTTCCTTAGTCACTGTTTATTTGTGGATTCATTTGGCACAACACGAGACGCTAACCCTGTCGACCTACCAGGTCTCGCCCCTTTTTATAGTTTATGCGATTCTTACCCTGTCGACCTACCAGGTCTCGCTCCTTTTTATAGTTCATGCGATTCTTTCAGTTTTCAGTTTGTTACCTTGATTTGTCTCATTTTTGTCGATAAGGACACGATAAAATGTTTTGATTTTTATTATATACCATTGTGGTTGACTGACAGTCAGACTGACAGATGGACGAACACAGTGAACACTATAGGGCTTCTGTATCCTTGATGCGGGACTCTAATAATATTCTTCATCATCACCATCATACTAGTAACAGACTATTCAACATGCACAGATAATAGAGAGCCGCTTTAAAGTTGTCTGAATGTTTTATGGACACCACCATGATTTATTTGATCGTTATGGAATGTATCACAGAATGTTTTATTAGTAGTAATCAACACGATGGATGCCACTAGTGGAACAGGAAGTGATTACCTTTCCAGAGCACCTGAGTTCATCTATAACACGATGGATGCCACTAGTGGAACATGAAGTGATTACCTTTCCAGAGCACCTGAGCCCATCTATAACACGATGGATGCCACTAGTGGAACAGGAAGTGATTACCTTTCCAGAGCACCTGAGCTCATCTATAACACGATGGATGCCACTAGTGGAACAGGAAGTGAATACCTTTCCAGAGCACCTGAGTTCATCTATAACACGATGGATGCCGCTAGTGGAACAGGAAGTGATTACCTTTCCAGACCACCTGAGTTCATCTATAACACAATGGACGCCACTAGTGGAACAGGAAGTGATTACCTTTCCAGAGCACCTGAGTTCACACTATTGGTTTATTTTAGTGTTTTCTTTAGTTTAAGTGCAGTGTTTAGTGGATTGCTGTTTGTCTTTTCGTCGTTCTTTTTGTCAGACCATGATGATGTCCTTGGCTTATGGTTCTTAGTCATTTCATTTTTCAATTCTTGAAGGAAGGTTTTAAAAAATGAAAACATAAATTAATCGGTATCGTTTGCATGAATGACGAAGCTTTACATATAAAAATAAAAAGATGTGGTATGGTTGCCAATGAGACAACTCTACACAAAAGACCAAATGACACAGACATTAACAACTACAGGTCTCCGTATGGCCTCTAACAATGAGTAAAACCCATATCGCATAGTCGGCTATAAAAGGCCCCGAAATGGCAATTGTAAAACAATTCAAACGAGTAAACTAACGGCCTGATTTATGTACAAAATATTGAACGAAAAACAAATATGATATACAGCAACAAATGAAAAACACTGAATTACAGACTCCTGACTTGGGACAGGCACATATAGAATGTGGCGGGTTTAAACTAGTTTAAAGGCGCCAACCCTCCCCTAACCTGGGACAGTGGTGTAACAGTACAACATAAGAACAAACTATAAAAATCATTTGAAAGGCTTAACTTATCAGATGGATACAAAGCAGAAATACATCTAACAAAAACACAGACCGGACGTGGCAGGGTATTTATACACCCCCACAACAGAAAGACACTAAGTACAGATCTGAGAGTACTCGCAGTTACTGACAGCTAGTTCAAAGCCAATAACAACTAATAAAAAAAATCATGCATATAAGACTAAAATATTAATCAGTACACATCCAACGTCCAATTGATTTAGTGTAAAGACGTCATTAACAGTCAGAGAAAACATGACCTTGTGCAATGCTAAGATCCAGGTATCGACAGATTGTAGAGCCATTTTCACGTCTATAAAATAAAAGAGGGTAAAGACCTTTTACACGAGTGGCAGTCTAAACTTAACAACAAGTTGCACGCAATGTCTTGTAAAGTATACCCTATGTAATTACAAGACATTGACGAAAAATCCCACGTTCAGTGGGTATAATGTAAATTTAAATAATCGACAAACAGGAAGTGGCTGCCCGGCAGACATAGAAATCGCCTAACACATATAAAGTTTTAGACCAAATATAATACTGGAGCTGTCGTAGTAATATGTAACGAAACAATCATTGGTCAGCCATCATAATAAAATTCAAAAATCAAAAAGTCAAACGGCAATTGACTGCCCGACAGATCTGAAAATCTTTCATCAAAATAAAGTTCACGACCAAGAATAAAAGTATTCCTTAATACAAAGACTGAGTACAATGTATTATGTAACGAAAGTTACGCACGGACGAACCGGACAATTTAATTGCAGAATAGCACCCACTCAGTGAGCGGGAGTATAATTATTGAATTCAATAACTTTTTTTCTATCTTTAAAGAGATAAAATCGCTGCTCAACGTATCATTTTACAGGCTAGGTTGGGGAGAAGTCTAAATAGGTCATGCAACAATGAGACTTTAATAGTACAAAGTGGTCTGTTGCGATCGTTACTACCTACAACACTCATACTTTTAAATCTAGTTCGAGGTATTTAAAATGCTTACTTTATGCCCTAAACTGGCATGGCTGCTACATGAACAGTAGCTGGTGGGCTTATACATTGACATTATGCCCTTAACTGATAGGCTTAATATACATCGAAATTATGCCCGTTACTTTTAGGCACATACATTGGAAGTATGCCCTTTCCTGGTGTGGCTACTTAATTGACAACATTCTCTGTATGCATTAGATTATGTAAAAAATAACGAGCTTTTAAAAATATTAAAAGAATGAAACTGTTGTATATTATTTTTAATAATGCAATGTGTTTGTGCACCCTTATGCATAAAATATGGAATATGTGCCAAGTTGGTACATAATACCTTCCTTTACAGTTAAGGTTTGGGATTGTACAGGTGATATTTTAAAGCATACATTTTAATGTTTCTTTAAAGTTTAATTTATATTCGTTAATAAATAAGATTAAAATCGTTCTTGTTTGTTGTTTAGTCTTTAAAACAAAATAGAAAAGGGGGGGGGGGGGGATAAAAGAGATTCAATAAAACAAAATAAATAAGATCAATAAATGACTTTAAAAATAATAAAGATGGAAAGTTTATAATTGTATTCATTCGAATTATTTCCAAATTAATTTGAAGCAAATGATACCAAGTTCCTTCTATTATTGTATATATGTTAGGAAACAACGGTTAATTCAAATTGTACTTACCCCATTCGTTGCTGAAGTACTTTGTACAGTTGAATTCCCTGGTTTTAAGTACAGAAACTTTGCAGCGTATGCCATTATTCCTATGTGTTCCTGGTCTTCCTCAGCAATGTCTGAGGCAGTCAAAAGAGGCTCTACACCTAGTTGCGTTGCACCGTCAATTCCTAGAAAGGAATTTATATTAAGTAGTGTAGTTTCAAACACTTAAAGAGAATGACACAATTCTTTTATTTCTTGCTATTCGCACACAGTTTTCATATAGGAAACAATGCAGGTTAATAACCATCAATTTTTCTTTCTGCAACATATTTCAATGCGTAACTATCCTACATTCTTTCGCTACATCCAGATTGGTTGAAGTTCAGATTTCACGTATACAATAAGGTATAGTATTTCTTAAATAAATACGAAAATGTTCACTTGTTTTCATAAACCAGGGTGAAAGCTACCGTGAAATATTTTCTCCTCAATCAGCAAACTAATTAGGTACAGGTACAGATTAAAAAGCCTATGGGTCATTCAGGTGTGACAAAAGCCCCCTTCTTCTATCCACTTAAGTCGACTGTATACTTATCATTATTTTAATATCTACTGTTGTGGAAATTTTATGTGAATGTTTTCAATAGGAAGGATAGTTTATGATCTTTTATTGTGATTTCTTGCCGACAAGAAAATTGTTGTCATCTGTTAGAAGTTGTCCGTTGTGACTGTGAAGTTTGAGAAAGGCAGTCTAAGGTTACACCTCCACATTTAAAGGGATGTAAGAATATATTTGTTTCAAGTTTATAATTCTCTTTGCTTGAATAAGATCATGTATTGATCATGTTAAGATAAAAAAGATTGACAATGTCAAATGTTACCTGTATAATTTGTTCATTTTACGAAGTATTTATTCATCTTAATTTTTGAATAGCAATAAAAACTTAAGTGTCATATTGAATTATATTTCATTTTTATATTGGATGTTTTAAGTTACCTTCTTGGAGCCTCTGTATTTCCGAGATATTTGTATGAGAGGTATCTTGAATCCTGGCTCCCAGGTTGGTTACCAGCTCTGTTAAAACCCGACCATCATTCCAATCTGTCTAGAAATCAAATGCAGTGGGATTGGATATTTTAAGGTTTACAAAATTAAAATAATTCCCTTTCTTTTATAATCATCTTAAAAATGTCATTACAAACAACACTTTAATATTATATGTAGAAAAAACTCTTTGCAATTAAAACATACTTTTACATAATAACGAATTTTGTGTCTGTATTATATTATACTAGGATTTATTAACAAGCGTTTTTGCTGAAGCAGTTAAAAAGAAGAAAATTCATTTTCATCTTACTGTAAAGTTGAAGACTGGAACATTATGAACCATGGGTTGTATTCTTTGTAGTGTTGCGTTGTAACCAGGGGATCCAACTTTGATGAAATACGACAGATAAGTAATGGATGACAATTCATCTAAATCTGTACTGGCTAAATGTTCCGGACGAAGTATAAGAGGTATTCCGAACTGCTGACGTGCCAATTTCATAGCATAATGACAGTTATTAGCTCTACAAATAGTTAAGGAAGAATATATGATAAGGCCAATAGTTTGGTCCCTTAAATTCGTTATGTAAAAAATATTGTATATCTAAGTACTAACATCCTTCGTTCATTAGAGGTAAGTCTGGTGGACATCAGTATTCGTATTGTTTACTTTTGTCCTAATAATTGTTATCAAGTCTTCAAACTTCTAAGTACACAAGTATTTAGTGAAAACTTCAAAAAACTGCAAAAAACAGTCTCATTTTGAGATCTTTTCATTAATACTTATATATTAACCAAGGCTTTATCGAATTTTGCTATACGATGTATTTTACAAAGATGTTATGTCTTTAAAATGTCTTTTGGATAAACCTAAGGCTCACATATATATGTATAAAAACGATTTGTGAAATAGCCGCTTTACCTTAAATACGTTAATATAATTAGCATGATTTTCAAAAGCTTGCGCAAGATAACTATTTTTCCACTTTCAGGACATGGCTCTTGTCAAAACATCTCTTTCGTCAAGATTTAAAAAATGCTATTTATTATTGATGTAAAATACAGTACAGGTATAGTATTCTCGTCTCTCCCTAAACATTGACCGGATTGTATTTCAGGAAAACTTTGATAGCATCTTCAATAACTCCAGCCATTCTGCATTTCTTACTTTATTTCTGACATGAATGTGCTATTCAGGGGGCTTTCCAACAGTAAAGAATATGCCTCGTATGTGGAGCAGAGGTTAGGAAGTAATTTCTGCTCATAATTTGCAATAAAAGAAATGTAAAAAAATCAATGGTTCTTACTTATCTGTTCTGTCAAGTGACCTCCAATGTGATGACAACCCAGGCATACAGAAGTCAAGTAAAGCACTGTAACGAAGGAAATATACAATCTACTCAAATATCAAATTCAAACATTGTGCAAAGGTTAAATCGCAAATTGAAAAATACTTTTCATTATGTCCGAAAAATACAAGTACAAAATACTACAACTGCTTTTACAACAACATAAGGAAATCAACCAAACAAAACCTATTTGATTGACCTCAAAAAGGTCGATAATTTGCTGTAACCATTGCATTTTGTCAATTAGCGCTTTATCAAATTCATACTCGTAGTGGCTCCTTTGAAAATCTTAATAGAGAAAGGAGAATATGTTTTTCATGTAATGATACTGTAAAAGATGAATCCCATATACTTCTAGAATGTCCGATTTATCAATATTTTATTATATAAATTATATCATGTGGTGAAATTTTAAACCAAACATATTGATCATTTTCAAAATGAGTATCTATTTCTAGATCTCAATGCAGTGCAACATAGTACCAAAACCTGGAAGCTAATTTCAAGAAATAATCAGATTTAAAAAAAAAGAAAAAACGTTTGATAACGAAGAGGCAACTTTCCATCAGAGTTAAAATGACGTGGATGCATTTTTATAATTCATTTAATCGTCTCTCACAACTCTGCATTGTGTGGCTTTTTTTTATTTCAACTTATATTAATGGTTTGATGTCATATTCATTTATTATACAAAAGGTGAGATGTAAATGGAATATTGAATTAAACTTGAATTTAACATTCAAACTGGTTACATTTATATGAAAGACAAACAAATGTCATCATTACCTCAACAATATTCAAGACGCAGAAGGTCGAAAAAAAGATAATTAAACTAATTTGTGACATTACCGAACAAAATGCATAACATTTTTTAAATTTTTTACAGAATGTTTAATAATAAATTACTTTAAAGCCAAACCATCGTTCCAATCTGTTGTCAGGTTCGTCACTTTGCATTGTGGGATAACTGCCTGTATCCATGCCAACAACCAACTTTTGTTTTGAATGTTTGCATTGCCTATTTGATAACGGAGGATCAGCTGCCATATCAAGGCAAGAATTAACTTCAAGTTTCCGTCAGCAATATCAGAACTGTCTAAAACAAAACAAACATTTTGGTGAGACAAATGAAAAAAAAAAGATAATATAAAACTAAAAATTGACAAACAAATTAAATATTATATTCCGGCCATAGGCCAGAAGAGGAAAGATCCAGAATACAAGAATATGAAACTAACATTTGCGGATTCTTTAGGATCATGTATACTTTATAAAGGAACTGTCATCAAAAAGTTCTCAATTTCCAGTTTGAATTAATTTTTCTGCCAGGGAGTTTGAATTCATTATGACCTAATACTATTTATATTCAGTATTATACATACTGTATTATTGTCTGTTGTTTTCCTGTCGTATTATAAGATGTAATGACCTAATACCATTTATATATGATGGATATGCTGTCGTGGAGGATTAAGGTTAACAGGAGTGATTACAAAATACGTAAGCACAGTCAAAAAAAAAAAACAATGCATGCATTCGTCTCAATATTAAATATATCAAGTGTTGTTAGTTTAGCGCGGTTAAATACATGTTTCAAGGTGTAGTCATATAAATAAAATGGATAAGTATATTATAATGTTCCTAATCGATGTATTGGACTGGTCTGATCAGTGCAAGATGTTGATTCTATAGTTTGTCGTTTGAGACCTTGTAAAAGAGAGGCAAAAGATACCAAAGGGACACTCAAACTCACAAGTCGAAAATAAAATGACAACGCCATGGCTAAAAAAGAAAAAGACAAACAGACATTGTCTTTTTCTTTTTTAGCCATAGCGTTGTCATTTTATTTTCGACTTGAGAGTTTTGGTATCTTTCGCCTCTTTCTGAAAATGTCAGTTTCAAAGAATTTCTTGTTTGAATCAGAAAGATTTTTACAAAGTGCAATTTATCACTCCCGAAGACAAGATACTTGTAACCACATTTAAGATAAAAGGAACAATAATATACCATACATTTTTTCACGTTGTTTCAATCTATTCCACTGTATTTAACCTTCACTAATTTGAAGGAGGCGTCAATGAAAATTTCTCAAATCTAACGTCAAATTTTCTTCAGGGAGCTATGACGACATAAAAAAAAAATCGTGTCACGTGTTTTAAAGAAAGAGTATTAACAGATATGTCACAAGTAAACATTAGTTTTGTGCCGAGAAAAGCTAGTGTTGCATTTGCACAAAGAAAGTAATCAATCAGGTTAACAGATCCACATGGAAGCTCTAACAAAGAAAATTTTGTTAGCCGCATGTACCACTTTACAAATGCCGTTTGGGCATTACTTTTCTGATTCATTTTGGCGTATTTGTTGAGTTTAAAAATGGGAGATTCAATAACTATCATGTGATTTTTGTTTTATTTTTCAAAAAATCCACAGTTTTTATGACGAAAATATACAATGCATGTTGAACAAAGGTAACATTTTTGTATATTTGCTCTTTTCAATTAAATACAGAAAGTCGTGTGACACTCGATCTGTGATTTATTATAATGTCTGCAAGAGACGGAAAGGACATAGGATTTACTCGAGACAAACATCCCATGAACTACTGTGAAGAATTGTAAACCAATAAATATATTCATATGCCAAATCTTTCGCTTCTATTCATCGTCTTGTTAGGTACAGGCAGGTCTTTGAGATAAACCAATTAGCTTTAGAGACTTACAGCATGATAGAGACGATCTCTGGGGTGGAATTAAGTACTAGTAAGTTTAATTTATCCGTCTTCACAATAAAAACAAGTATAAAATCTAGCCAAGAATCTAAATCTCCACTCTTCCATGAACAATATATGTTAATGGACAAATAAACAATTTGTGAAAGGTCAAGTACACGTTTCCAATCCGTTTATTACACTGTTTTGTTATTCAAGTGTTGTTGTCAGCAGGACTGTCCAGTTAAACAGTTAATATCTCCAATATAAATGTCATTTTCTGTCTTAACGAGGGTAATCATTACTTAACACGGTGTTGATTACGATAACAGGTGATATTTTTACTTCTTCGGGAAAAAGATAATCTAAAAATTAAAAAATGGAGAATTTTCAAATATCAAACAAGCCAAGGTAAAACCTATATAAAGTGACAGAACATACGATTATTTTTACTATACACTCATATTAATAAAATTTAGAATGGAAATGGGGAATATGTCAAAGAGACAACAACCCGGCCAAATTGCAGATAACAGCCGAAGGCCACCAATGGGTCTTCAACGCAGCGAGAAAATCCCGCACCCGGAGTGGGTCCTCAGCTGGCCCCTAAATAAAAATGTGCACTAGTTCAGTGAAAATGCACGTCATACTAAACTCCAAAACATATAAATGAACTAAAATTAAAAATCATACAAGACTAACAAAGGCCAGAGGCTCCTGACTTGGGACAGACGCAAAAATGCGACAGGGTTAAACATGTTTTGTGAGATCTCAACCCTCCCCCTATACCTCTAGCCAATGTAGAATACAGAAACACACAGCAATACGCACAGTAAAACTCAGTTTAAAAGAAGTCCGAGTCCGATGTCAGAATAGGTAACAAAAGAAACTAAGCAAAATGACAATGATACATAAGTTAACAAAGGACTACTAGCAGTTACTAACATGTCAGCTCCAGGCCTCAATTAAACTGATTGAAAAATTGTGTCTTCATCATATGAAAATCAAGTACAATCCCTCCCGTTAGGGGCTTAGTATCATACCATCATAAAATATATGAGAAGAACATAACCCGTATCATGCCAACAACTGTTTTTAGAATAAATGTGTTTATTTCCGATGCAAAGACCCTATGAGTGAATCAATATTAATACCAAAATATGCAATCCTTAATGACTTGACAACAGTATCGTTACTATATCCCTTCCGAATAAGTCTGTTTAAAGGTTTGGTTAGCTTTTGAGGTGAATGCCGACATTTTTGTGCTTTGTAAAGAATATTACCATAAAAGATTGGATGTGAAATACCTGAACGTATAAGATGTCTGCATGTTAATTTATATGTCCGAATGATGTCCTTGTACCGATGATAAAATTGAGTAAATGTTTTGACTAGTTTGTGATATCGAAAACCCTGGTGTAATAATTTTTCAGTAATACATAGATTTCTTTCGTTAAAATCAATACGTTGTTTGAACAAATTGAGATATATTAACGCCATAAGATGGTGACAAGGGAACGTCACCGCTAAAAATGGATAATTAACAATAGGAAATGAAAAATCATCTCTTTTATCATAAATTTTGGTATTAAGCTTCCCGTTAAGGATGTTCGCTACTTTGTTTCAAAATAACAAGCTTTTTAAAAGACTGTTCTAAAATGATAGTATATAAATAAAGGAACTAAAAAAGCAGAAAAAAATGAAGGGTCCGTGTGCTTGTTTTCGAGATAAAAGCCATTGAAAATTTGGCGGGAAATGATTCTCTCTAGATTTTTCATACTTTTAACATTGGCCGCTTTTTTGTTTAAAAAAATATGAAAAAATAACAAGGATTTTATAAGATTTTCAAATATGGCTTTTTAAACTATATGTAATAAAATTATGAAAAGAAAAGTAGGGGTTAGTGGGCAAATTTTTTTTATTGGCAATACATGGATAAAATCAGAGGATTCCGAAAATCTGGCAGAAATTCAAAAACAAGAGGAGCAAACATCCTTAAAGATATAGATATCAAGATTCAGGAAAGGGCAGTGTTCATTGTTAGTATTAGCTTTATTTAAGGTCAGTTCGGCAGGATAAATCTCTTTAGTGTACATACTTAAGTCGTCATTATTGAGAGCCAATATATCATCTAAATATCTAAAAGTGTTATTAAATTTTTGAATCAGATGTTGTTTCGATGGGTCTTTGCTGATTTTAGTCATAAATTGTAACTCATAACAATACAGAAACAGGTCCGCAATAAGTGGTGCACAGTTAGTCCCCATGGGAATTCCAATAACTTGACGATATACGGAATCTCCATAGCGAACAAAAATGTTATTTAGTAAAAATTCAAGGGCAGTTATAGTATCAAAGCAGGTCCAGTTGACATAGTTCGTTTGTTTGTTGTTACTAAAAAAATGACCTAAAAGAGTTTGAACATATATATTCGCATTCTGACTTTTTAAATGCCCATTTAATCAGGTGTGTGAATTTTTCTTAATAAGATTATGATGTGAAGTGGTTTATAGGGTAGAAAAATCAAAACTTTGAACAGATTCGAAATCACCAATATAAGCATGCAATTTATCAAGTACTTCCAACGAATTTTTTACACTCCAAAAGTAATTAATTCCACTATTTTCAAAGGCCTTATTTGAACAATTTATTACCAGGTTTTTGATTGTACCAAGTGTACTAGTAAGTAGAATATATAGTTTAGTAGTGGAACAAAGGCTTGAAGACGAAATAAATCTATATTTGTAAGGAGTTTTGTGCAGCTTCGGAAGCCAGTACATAGTTGGAACTTTCACTGTATATAGTTCTGCTTGTAAAGAGGTAGCTAAAAGTTTATGTTTGTTACAGATGTCATTTTCCGAAAAAGGAGTCAGTTGGAATGTTGGTGAATTGGTGATTTCCTTTTTCAGAACCCCAATGTAAAACTTACGTCAAACAATAATGATATTGTTAGCAGCCTTATCAGCTGGGACAAAAACAAATACCTTGGCGAGTTCTTTTAGCTTATGTTTGATACGAGAAATAGGGCTATTATGGTTGTTGTTAGAAATATATATCATTATACATTTTGTAGAACTCTACAAGATAGTTAAAACGGAATAAGTTACGATTTTGACAGTGCAATTTGTAAAAAAATTTGTTTTGTTTTGTTTCAATCTTGCACAATAAAGGAATGATGAATGATAATTCGCTTTTAGCTGTCTGGTTCGTTTAACTATGTCAAAATTAAGCACAAAATCTTCGTTGATTCTTTAATGGTGCAGCCATTAATTCGAACTCATTTGGATTCGTTTTCATGCGACCTATAATATGAACTCAGTTTAAGATCGATTGCGCATGTCTTCAGCATGTTCAGCTATTGAAAAAATGTCAGCTTAAAACTGAATCTA